TACGTTCAGGGGCGGATAGAATGCGGCTGGTATATGCAATAATGCAATCATGGCCATGTTGTTTCTGAGCCAGCGCTGCACCAATGCCATGTCCACTTGCATCTGTACGGATTTCCGTAGGGGCAGCAGGGTTGAAGTGTGCCAGAATCGGAGGAGTAGTGAGAAGAGCGACGAGAGCCGACAACGCAGAAGCCTCTTCGGAGCCCCATGAAAACGGGACTTCTTTCTTGAGGAGCTGCGTAAGCGGCCTCGCTATGTGCGCAAAAGTTTTCACGAAGCGTCGGAAGTAGGAGCATAGTCCGATAAAGCTGCATACATCCTTCGCAGATCGTGGTTCAGGAAAGTTTTTGACGGCGCTGATTTTTGCCGGGTCTGGCTGTACACCATTGGCGTCTACAAAACGGCCAAGTACTGTGATTTGATGGCGTCCAAAGTGACATTTGGACGAGTTGAGCTGCAGGCCAGCGCGACGGAAGATTCCCAAGATGGCTGAGAGAGGCTCTACATGAGTTTCAAATGTTGGTGAAAAGACGATGACGTCGTCCAAGTAGCACAAACAGGTGAACCATTTGAATCCTCTGAGCACGGAGTCCATCATTCGTTCGAAGGTGGTTGGAGCGTTACAAAGGCCGAAGGGCATGACCTTGAACTGATACAGGCCATCGGGGGTGATGAATGCCGTCTTTTCACAGTCCATTTCATCTACCTCTATCTGCCAGTAGCTAGACCGAAGGTCTATGGAGGAAAAATAGTGGGACCCATAGAGGCAATCAAGCGCATCATCTATTCGTGGCAGAGGACAGACGTCTTTTTTGGTAATTTTGTTGAGATGTCGATAATCAACGCAGAAACGCCATGCACCATCTTTCTTGCGGACTAGCACTACAGGAGAAGCCCAAGGACTGCAGGATGACTCAATGATGTCCTTGGCGAGCATTTTGTCCACCTCACCTTGGATAATGTGACGTTCGGCCGCCGACGCCCGATATGGATGCCTATGAATAGGATGCTCATTACCAGTGCTTATGCGGTGGGTCATACCGGTAGCTTTCCCCAACGAACGGCCGCTAAGGTCAAAAACGTCGATGTAGGACAGCAGGACCCGATGGAGCTCATCAGTCTGCTGCGACGTTAAGTTGGAAGCGATCATCGACGTAATAGCGCTGTCGGAGCAAGTGGCAGATTGATGTTGAGCGTGGGGGTCAGAAAGAGTGGCCATCGCAAAAACATCTACCGCATTGTCTTCTAAGGTGCAGAGCAACGCCAAAAAGATCCCTTGTGGCAGAACTTGAGGTGTCAAGCTAAAGTTGACAACTGGGAGGCACGTAGAATTTCCTGCGACGGACCGAATGGTGTGCAGTAATGTAATGCCGCGGTTTATGAGGACATCGGTGATACGGGTCAGAACATAGTCACCGACGGGAACTGTTGGTATTGAGACAAGCTCTCTGTAGGTCAGTGTCTGTAAAGGGAGGCGCACGTGTCTCGTTGTGCAGAGGCGACTCGGCCGTTGTGCAAGAGGTTCTGTTGCGGGCAAGTGTAGACGGAGCGTACTGGTCGAACAGTCTATGAGGGCAGAATGCGCGGACAAGAAGTCGAGGCCTAAGATTACATCATGGGGGCATTTATCAAGGACGGTGAAGAGAACAACTGTGTGTCGATCCGCAATGCTCACACGAGCGGAGCACATTCAAACGATAGATGCTATTCCACCATCCGCAACACGGACGAACTGAGTGGTCGCAGGTGTGAGAACCTTCTTGAGCTTGCGGCGAAAATCACTCGTCATCACGGAAAATTGAGCGCCGGTGTCGACAAGAGCAGTGACATGTACGCCGTCTACTTGTACGTCTATAAGGTTCTGTTTTGTCGGTATCGTCAAGAGAGGATTTTCGGTCAGTCCGAGCGATGCAGTGCCACCTCTGGGGACTGCAACACTTAGTTTTCCATCAGGGACCCTCGTGGGAAGGCGGGGGAAGACGGTCGGCGGGGCTGTGGAGAACAAGACTGGCGACATTGGGGGGATAGAGAGCGGGAGTAGCGGTGTTCAGAAGCAGGTTCCTGGGCAAAATGGTCGCGGCTGATCTCATGGTGATAGGCAGGACGTGCATAGAAAGTACAAAAGAACGGTTGTGCAGGAGGACCCCAGCGACTTCTGCAATGTCGAGAAATGTGCCTGATTCTGTGACACGAGAAGCGGATCGGCTTGTCATCGTGTGTTCGCCATGCGGTCGGATTACAGAAGGTTGAGGGAGAGCCGGTCGAGAAGGGACGTGCAGGCATGTATTGGGGCTGGTAGTCGGTGCGGGGAGGCGGAGAGAGTGAATTCCCAAGCTGGCGATTTCCTGCCGGACGACTGCTTGAATGAGAGGCAAAGTGATTGGAGGAGAGGAGTCAGGGGAAGTTGGTCTCACCTTAGCTGGAGCAGCCGCTTCCAAGTTCGCCACCTGACGATTCGCGTCAAGTTGTCACAGGTGTCTGGTGGATGATATGTGTCGAGACACGAGGACGTCGCAGTGGTGTTCGGAAGGCGCTGGAACTGATGAGAGATGCGTCTGCTTTTAGCTTGTTGGAACCGGCGGCATTCTTGAATGATCACATCAACAGATGACACATTGTTAAATACCAACAAATTGAACGCATCGTCGACGATATCCTAAGAATATGCGCAACTTTTTAGGTTCGGACATGTTTTCGTCAGCTTGGCGGCATAGTGAGAGGACAGCCTGAATGTAACCGATATAGGGCTCTGTGGAAGATTGTGCGTGAGCCGACAATTCATTTTTCGCAGCTTCACGACAACTATAGAGATGTTGCCAAAAAGCTCACGGATCTTTTCCTTGAAGCTGTCCCAGCTTGTTATGTCATGCTCGTGGTTGTCAAACCAAACACGAGGGGTTCCGTCGAGATAAAAGATAACGTTTGCGAGCATAAGAGTGGGATCCCACCTGCAAGTGGCGCCGACGCGTTCGTAGAGGCGTAGCCACTGGTCGACGTTGAAACCCTCGCTGCCCGAGAACACGTCGGTGTCTTTGAGCGCGGGAAGCGTCACGAAAGTTGTTGCGGGCGCTGGGTTGACAGGCCGGGCAGAAGGGCGGGCGACCAGAGAAGATGACGCCGAGTTTTGAGTGGTCATGTTGTAAGCCACGAGAGAGCGTCCGCTTCGGAGTTCCGTGGCGAGGACGGGGATCGCACAACTCCACCAAATATGTTACGAGAAGGAAACTGGCTTGGAGGGGTAGTCACCGATGTATTTACAGCCGGTTAAGCGAGCAGCGCCAGCTACACAGATTAGCTCGCGCCAGTCTATCTGCTTTGTCTTCTTCAACTACATGCACTGGCACGTAGCAATATTATGCTATACATCTCGTCGGGACTCGAAGATATTTTTCTTCATTTAGAAAAAATAACAGTGACGGCTTAATCATATGAGCTATAGTTATGTTATCATTATGTTATAGTTATATACTATAGTTATAGTTATTATAGTTACCACTATAGTTAGTTATCATTATGTATTTCTTAGTTGTCCCTGACGAAGTGGGCAGAAAGAAGAGGTACATTTAAAGAACTGGTTCATTTTGCATTCAAGATGGACATTTATGCAAATCTTATCCCAACAAACTGACAGCACTGACAAACAAACCACTAAGCATAGCACATTTCACCGATGCATTGAGAGGCGACACCATCATTTCTCTTTCAAAAATTTTTACAGTTGGAGCCACCACATCCAGAAGTGATATCCGAGTATGAATGAGCCAAGTGAATAGCAGAAAAACCCATTATCTATACAACAATTGCACATTACCCATGCTACCATATCCCTACTTACCGATATGCACACTCATTGGTTGCTAATTAAGTAGGTCTATATTGCTTCCTATTGTGTTATAAACTGCATTATCATTGTAACTATCTGAGCAATGCCAACAGCACACAAGTATATTACTAAATGCCCTTTGAAGCAAACTGCACAGTTCTGCATTTTTGCCAAGCTCTTGTGTTTGCACTCAAGGCCTCAAAAAAAGTCAAAGAAGGCAACACGATTCAGGTTGTCTACCCTCAAAACACACATACTGAGAGTGCAATGCACAAATGTATATATTTATTTGTTGTATTAGAAAGCAACAGAAAATATGAGTAAACATCTCAACATAAGTAGCAAGGAAATGAAGAATCCAAATATTTAAGTGGGTAAGCAGGACTGCAATCAAATGACACCACTTTGTTCAACAAGTAACAAGACTTTATTACAGCTGTTGTGGAGCAGCTTAACCAGCAGCCTCACTCAGACAGGGAAGAGCCAGACATGTAAACTATTACGATGCTGCCAGGCACTTTAGTTTGAGGAATTGCGAGTAGCTTACTTATATATATAAAAAAAAAAAGGGTGGCAGTGACCTATTTTCTTTGGCAGAGTCCCAGAGAGCAGAAAAACTAGTGATATTGTGTCAAACATGCTTCATTAAATGGACCATGTACATTCGGCATAAAGGCACTGTGAGATGCCAAAACGAAGGTCGTAGAGCAAGAAGCATTGAAGAGGAGGAACTCCGCTATTTCTAGTTGCCAGATACAATGCCACAAGCCCACCATAACACCAGCCAAAAAAAGAGCACCCTTCCCCTTAAGTTTATACATGGCCACACAAAGACGCATGCATGAAAATACAGAGGAAAAAGAAATCTAATATCTAATGACCCCCCCCCCCCCCCCATCCAGAAAGCAATTTCCGGCTACACCCCTAAAGCTGATGGCCTAGATGGAAATCGCCACTGTTTCAGTTCATAAACCAAGAAATCATGGGTGTGGCTGCAATTAGTACTTGTCCCAAGAAACATTAATTATTATTTTTTTATAGTGCCTCACAATACACACTATGAGGTGCCACACAACTGTATGTACCTCTGTCACTGCATACTATTTTGGCGATGTTATGCGGTCATCCACAATGACTAAAGGTTAACCTCTTCAGTACTTTTGCTCAGTAGCAAATGCTAGCGAATTCAATGACTTTATAAATTATTAATCAGAGTCAAAAGCCAGAATTAGTAAAAGCTAGATAGGCGACAAGCTGGCTTTCTGACTAGCCGATAGATCAGGGTGCCAAAAATCAACAATGAGCACTAGGCGCAAGCTGTCCCCTTCGTGCCAAACTTCATGCTCAAAGGAGTCGTCAAACATCAGCACTTTGCCTTCTTTCCATTCCCTGCAGAGAGCAGAGCAGTGAACAATATCAGACGATTTTTATATGTACACAACGGTGCACATTGAATGTCTATTAGATTGATCAGTCAAACTATATAAGGGACACAGCGGCCATGAGAGATACACGGGGTGCTGCAGAATGTCTATAGCTACCTGGTAGTCTTCAATATGCATTCACTTTGGGCACAAGAGCGTACTCGAGTTCTGCCACTACTAGATTTCGGACAGAAACTCAATCCTACAATGCAGAACGTCCTAGATACTGAGACTACATAGCAGCTAGAAAAAATAGTATTGAAGGCAAACAAACACATAGTTAAACAAATGAAAAATGAATACTCTCTTGCAGAGTACTACTTGTGAACACTAATGGTAACTTTGACAAATCATGATGGTGCGTGGGGAGCACCATGCACCAGTGCATATTTGGCTTTAATAAGAAGCTACTTATCAAATCTGGCACAATGTGTATCAATAAACCGAGGGTTATCATAAGCCATGAACGCTAGGAATGGCGTACCTCAAAGTAGCCTTTTGAGGCCTGTATTATTAAATATTTTTATCAATGATAGTGTACGTATTGACAGCTCTGTCGAATAGGTAATCTATGCGGACGATACAAGTAAATTTTTTTTCTCCAGCTGATGACCTCATTGTTTGTGCTAATAAAATACTAAATAAGGTATATGCTTGGACTGCAGCAAATTATCTACATATTATTTGCTCTAAAGGTAAGGCTGTACTGTTCCGTGCGAAATCAAAATCATTTGAAACTTCTCACAAACTATTACTTAATTATGTCAAAATTAATCTTGCTCAAACAGTTAAAACTCTCGGCGTTGCGCACATTAGTTATAAATTTCGTAAAGTTTTAGGTGTGATGCGTTGATGCCAGAATATACTACCTGTGAAGTAAGAAAATGTTAGTATACAATGCTATTTTCTCATCCCATTTACATTATTATCATCTTGTCTGGTCTACAGGCTCTAAAACATTATTAAATAACCTAGTCGTATTACAAAAAATTCTTTGTGATGTATTGAAGGTGCATTCTATAACGCACACACTGCCCCAATATTTGTAAAATACAGAATATTAAGAATTGCTAGTTACTACAAATACCAGCTTCTGCCAACTTTTAAATCAGAAATATGCCGAGAAAGAGCTGTTATTATTCTGTGCCATAAGTAGCTATCTTCTGCGCTATGTTTCTTTGTATAGTTCAATCATGTGTTTTTGCTTTTTTTTCTATTTTAAACATTGTATCCAGTTTGATGTCCTTTGTCGTTGTGTAACCGCTTGCGCAAGTATGTAGTTATGTCACACAATTGGTTCCTCTACTAGCCAGTTAGGCTATGGGACCAAACAAGTGTTTGTGAAGTTTTTGTTACATGGATGTGAAAGTTACAAAAAAAAAAGTACCCTTTTACATACATTGGCCGCCTTGCAACCAAATCCTGCCAGTCGAGTCACTCAAAATACGGAAACTTGGCATGTACCACGTGCTCGCACGAATTATGGATTTGAAACGCTACATTACCGTCTTCCAAGAATGATGAACAAATGGGAATTACCTATTGGTAATCTGTGTACATTGTCTAAAACTGATATGTTAAATTGGATGAGCTGATTGTGTTTTCCATGAATGTTGGGCGATATTTGTTACGGTTACTTTGTTTTATTCGTTCATACATTGCATTGTTATGAATAGTCTTGTATGTATTTCAGAGTTGCTATTTTATTATTTGCTGTCATGGTCCACATGCGCATTTTTTTGTATTGTTGCTTTTCACTGCCTGTAATATTTTGTAATTTTGTAACTTATAGATTTTTTTTTTCACTGGGCGAAGGGGCCAGTCAAGTTGTGACATGCAGCTTTTTTCTCTTCGAACTAAGACACGTATACAATGTGTTTTTTGTGTGTTTGTCATGGAGTTAAATAAATAAACTCAAATTATTTTGCCTAACCTGTGGTGATAGTGCCTGTGCGCATCAAGTGTCTGCGATCAGGCGCTATGGCCCACAATTGTAAGGTGTTGCTTGTACGTGACGTCAAGGGTTACATGTGTGTGCTATATATGTATGCTGGTTGCATGAAATAGAGGTTGGTTGATGTTATCTCGCCCACATTGGAAGTGGCTCAGTCCCTTTCCTCTGCTTCTGCGGCCGGCCAAGATGCGCATGGCCTTTCGCTAGGCCGCAACACGACACAACCATCCCAGTAGCTGGGCACACTTTGTCAAAGATGCTACAGGACTAATGAACAACAGCAACAGTGCACTACCTTGTCTCATTGGCCACTCGGATGCGAACTTTTGGGGGCACTACAAGTCCAAGGTGTGAGCGAAGTCGACAGTTTGTTGGCCCTACATGAGCCCAAACATGGGTGCCTGGGTGCATGACAGAAAACTTTGCCTGAAACGAGACAATTTGACTCGCACTTTTCAAGGGAAAAAGGTAAAAACATTTTACGCACACCAATGCAAATATTTAGTGTCGTCTCACTGTGCTATTAAAATACCTCATATGATAATTTAGGATTTTATTTACCCGGTAAAAATTTGAGCTACCTCCTACTTTGTCTACTTTGTTTTTTCTCAGATGTCACTCAGTATTGATGAATAAGACAATCTGCATTTTTCATTTTCCAGTGCTGCACGCTACCGTTTTGGTAGGGTTTTGCTTGGAGCTGGGACAATACGCAATGCCAGATGCAAAGCTTCCAACATGAAGAAACGCTTTGAGACTTTTCCATTAGAGGTAGGACTGGGACATCGTGAAAAAAGATGGATAGGCATTTTTGCTTGCCCACTTCGTCCAAGAAAAAATTAAATCTTGCGTAAACTATCGAATATTGTCGTAATGAGCAAGATTTTTTTTATGTGAAGTGCTGTGCCTCCTCCCATCCGTAAGTCACAAAAGCTTATGAGCACATCAGCAAAAGCATGAAGAGGAAACTACTACTGGCCATGAGAAATGCAAATCATACCATGACAATGTACATAAAATGCATGTTTTGTTGACATCACTGTACCACATTTGAGGGAGTAACCATATCTGCAACACAGATCTTCATCCAGCAGCTGCACTTGATGTGGAACCACATCCTTCTCTACTGTGCAATGATCTCAGTTGTCTTACTTTTTTCAACACCTGCTCCAGTCTGATTTTTGTTGCAAGATATTTGTGACTGTCTGTCTAAAGCAGAAAAGTAACTACAATTAAGGATACATGCTGTGCATGTCATGTTACTTTTAGTGAACTAGCAAAAAAATGAACACGTGCCATTACCACATATTGTTGAAGCTGTCCAGGCACACAACCAGGGACCAAATTTGGCTACAAGGGCATATAGCAGCCGGTTCATCACAAATGGCCCCAAATCCTCCTAGTCTGTGTTGTTTAATGTAGCCAAGATACTTAAAGAAGGCTATCAATCACCATCATCACACTGCTGCAGTGTTTGCACAACCAGCAAAGATTTAAGAGTATGTATGAAACAGAGACATTTCTTTCTGGAATGGTGTTATGGAAAAAGTACAGCCTCCTTTGTCGGCCCTCACATCACTTCACCACGGGACTATTATGGGCAATGTTGGATGCAAATGAGATGCCATTTTGCACTTTTATTCTGACCTGCACAATACAAAAAAGTTATGTGCTTCCTAGTTTGCAAACAAACCCAGAAAGTTATGTGCTAACTGCCATTTCTATTGCGATTACTAATGAGTACTTCAAGAAATTAAATTTACAGTTGTCCATATTGTGCGATGACATTTGATGCTGGAGTGCCTTGCAGTGCAGCTGAAATGAGGCAAAGATTGATGCTTATTGGTATTGCTTAGCAATGTGCACAAAAAGATAAACAACGTATCATTGCTGTAAAATATCATAGGTTACTGTAAATATATTACTCCCCAGTTTTAGTACCATAGAGCGCACTGAAAAACAGAAAGAAAACGTTGAAGAACTCGTAAACATTTGGCAGCAAAAAAGAGTGGCTAGTGTCTCAATGAGACTACAACCGGCATGTCCCCAAGGTTGCTGCGCTGGGCCCAATGCTTGTGTCTGTGGCCCGTTCACTAATGTCCCCAGCTAGTAAACCTATTAGTAATTTATTTATATTGAGCAATATAACAATTTTATTAAATGTATGGGTATGCGATTTTACAAAAGAAAGAGAACATCCTGCTACATCTAAACTGTTGTGCATATGGGAGATTTCATATTGTCATTGTTACAAAATAAATTAACAGACACTACTCCAAGAAAAACGTGTACCTGTAGACCCTTTGCTCTCAGATTCTGCCATCACGGCTTTCTTCATGGTGACAACACTTCAGTGGAGACCTACCTGCCCTCTCTTGCAGCCAGCAGCATCTTTCATAAGGCTTATCAGTGCACAGGTTTTAGGAGCCAATCTGCAGTTCCTCTCAATTTTTCGACCTGAAAGGCAGGACATTTTCGGTTTATTCTCTCCAGTGGCAGTGGCTATGTTTACATACACAACTTGTTTACATTAGTTGTGTAAACTTGCGGGCAAAAACAAAAGTAAAATACATAGCACATTGGACGAAGTGGGCCTTCTGCGTAGTCATCAGAACCTGAATTGACCTCAGTGTATTATTTGTATTATCTGTATTATTTGCTTATCCCTTACTAAATATATTACCGCTGCATGACAGCATTCTTTTGCACATTGTTATTCCTACATACAAGTTTCGAAGAAACATTATACTCAGTTTGTCAGTTTAACTTCATTAACACATTACCCAATACCTTTCTCTTTGTTAATGCTGTTAACAATTTAATGTGCACACAGAAACTATAGGGCATTTTCTTTTATAAATACTGCAGCCAGTCCTTGGAATGCTCTTCCTACAGAAATAACTTCATCATCCAATCAGCATTTTTTAACTCACTGTGCCAGCACTTCCTCTGCAATTCATAATTAGAAGAAAAAAAAAGCTTAGTTTTCCTTTGTGGTTTGTGTACTCTTCAGCCTTTTGTTGATGATGATGTTTGGCATTTTGTTTCATGGCCAAAGAGCTCCGATTCATGTTTTGTTGTTTTGTTTTTATATTATTTTCTTACACACTGTGCATAGCTGTTTCCTTTTACGCATCGCATGAAGATTTGTTTTGTATACACCTCTTTTTACACAAATTTTCATACAGATTTTTTTTTACGTGCTGCATAATTTATAGCTTTTTTTGCACATTATATAACGATTTTTTTTGTTCCATATACACCGTTGTATGAAATCTTAATACACGAACTTAATAACATTATCTGTGATAGGGACCCCTTCTTCCTTTTTCTTTATTTTTCTCATATTTTTTTGTATTTCTTTCTTTCTCTGTCTATTTATTTCTCTTCCTTGCTATTTTTCTTCCTCTTTCTTTCTGTTCTGCGCTTGCTTCACTTCCTTTTAATTTTTCGAATGTGGTTTTGCCTGTGATACGTGAAGGGGCAACAGTATAGTACATCAGATTGGTGCTCTAAGGAGCTCCGTACTTGTCATCCAGGCACTCGAAGAACAAGAGGATGACTTTCTTCAGGTGCAAGCATGCATTCAACATGCTACGCATGGCTACTATGCTATTTGTGGTTTTGCCTGCGTTAAGCCAGGCTACGGTAGCATACAGCAGCATACAACAGCCCCGGGCCTATAAAGCACTTCAGAGTCATATTGTCCTGACTTGAAAGCCATCTTGGCACTAACCGTGACAAATATGCTTCAACAAGCCCACTTTGCTTCTGTGAACGTATAGAAAAGAAGAGCCTGCTCTAAAATAGTTGATGGCATCTTGGCAATTGCTTCGCAAAGTGACTGTGGTATAAGACCTGTGTCTACATTCAAGAAGTGCTTTCCACTACCAACAGCATACTTCAATTGATGGTGCACGAGTTTAATCAAATGTCCATCCACCGCAATGCATTTGGCCATGATAGGGTGGCTATTCATTCCGCACCTTTTCCACTGCACCGCGACAACCACTTCCGACAAAAGAATGTTTGTAATTACAGTAAAAACTCCGAGCAAGCACACATACCCCGTCCCCTCTCTCCATTTTCACTCTTTCGCTGCTTTTAATTGCCTATCAAGAGAGCATAAAAATAGTAAATGCATGCTTAGGCAATAACACATTTCATTAGGAGCACGGGTCTGTGTTCTTTATTCTTAGCACTTTTGTGCTACCATCTTGATTTTTGATTTGAAAACAAGAAAGGAGCCTCCCCATTTAGATCTTGGCAGATTATCTTTCCCTGTGAAGGGGAGGAAAGAAGGGGTGCTTGTTTGAGATTTGACGGTGGCATGATTATGTATGATGACCATGCAGTTTACGAGGCACACCTGAGGCCAGAAACTACAGTTTCCTATTACCTTTGCAGATGATGATGCCATCATCATGGATGCAATTATGGTGGTGTTATCATTTTGAAGGATTGCAGCTAACACAATGACATAGATAGCAGTAAAAACAAACAAACAAAAAAAGGCTGCAAAGGCTTAACCGGGCATGAGGAGTCCTGGCTTTCTAGGTATCATACAGTTCCAGCTGACGACTGCAGCAGTAAATACTACGTACACCGTTTCATATTTATTTGCATAAAGCGGTGCTATAGGGGTAGCCCACAACGACTAGGTGCGACCAAATACATGGCATCCATGCTAATGACATTTCTGTACCATTTAATAAAGCATACTTAGGGTAGGACCAGAGTATTAGTGCAAGTTCTCAAATTTTTCTGAAGTAACCACATTTGAAACAATAAGGTTTTACAGTGCAAATTTGTGTGACCTATATAGGAAGTTTTCTGACAACAATCTTCAGCAAAAGTGAACTTCCTTGTGGATCCCTTCAACTTCATTGCAGAGAGGTTTGAGTGCATCTAGTGCACACGACTCCTCCAGCTACATTGTCGGCTCATTGGCATTCATATTTAACACAAGGTGGCACTTTACCACGAATGTGTTTCAATATGAAGTGTATTATGAATAAAAAATGCAGTAAGACACTAAAATAAAATGAAATGACAAAAAAAGTACCTGATTTTATCGCTGTATACATTTTAAATAGCTTCCTTGTTTTTAACTTCACATGACATGGATCAGAAAAAAAAATAAATGTATAGCAACAACTTGATAAAATACACATAGTAACAAACTTGTAGTAGTACTTGCCTCTCACAAACATTTCGAATTGCTTCCAGTCGCCAGAGTCCCTCAGGTTCTCAGCTTCAGGTTTAAAACCTTTGTCAGTCATTAGAGAGAGTGCCTCATTCTTTATGTCAATCCAGTGCTTTTCAAGTTCCTGCAGCAAAAGTGAGAATGTGAGACATAAAATTTGCAACTTGCACTCGTTTTGGACCAACGACCCCCTACAACAAAAAAAGTGGCCAGGAAACGGGCACCCTGACCTCTGTGAATATTGTGGTTGTCAACAAATTCTTGATAAGTGTTTGGTCATGGAACGTTTAACAAGCACACAGTGTGCAAGATTAGCAAAGCCTTCCACACCCTCAATTTCGCTTTGAAGCTGTGCAATTCCGGGGCCTACTGATGTGGCAGGCCTTGGATACACGTTTGCTGTGTGGCCTTTATTACATGTATGCACATTTCTGCTAATGTTTTATGGTTTCGCACAGATACCTCTTCGCTATATACTATTGGAACTATTTTGCAATAAACCTTATTTTTTTCTTCAGCGTTGTGTCTGCATCTTTTTCTCGTCCCGTTTTCAGTGCCGTTTTATTCTTCATTCGCCATGCACCAACTGGCCCAATCAAGAACACTGCTAACGTTACACTTTTAACTAAGCCAGAAGCTCGCAAAGATATGTTAAAATTAGTAAGCACAACTTGGGTTTCATACTCAGATATTGCAAAGAGGTGGAATTCCACGGTCAATAGCATGTGCAAGAACTACTTGGGCAAATCAGACATCCAGAGCTTTCAAATGTAGGATTACAGAGATAGTCTACAATGTGCGGGTCAAATAGCTGATGGCATTCCACGTATGCAGAACTGGTACCTGATAATGTGTTTGGTTCTTATCATTGCTAAAGTGGCCTGCAGAAGTGCATGCTAACAAAATAAGGTGCTGACACTAAAAAAAAAAATGTTGCAAACTTATGCTATCAGATGAGTTGAAGTGTAGCAGTTGAAAAAAAATTGAAGGTGACCCTAACGTTAGACATAGGCATCTACACTTGCACGTTGACATTCAAGCTCTCTGGTGTATTCCTTGTTTACCAGCGCAAAAAACAGAACACTTAAGAAGGTCTTTTAATCGCTTCATTTGATCAAGTTATTTTTCCATTGCTTTGATGCATGCCATGAAAATGCCTTGCATTCAAAGTAATTAAATGACTAGTGATTTAGTGCTATTTATTCTTCATTCATGCAAAACTCCCCTTTGCTCGGAGGTGTTATAGCAGGGGGGTTACAAAGATGAAAAAACACATATTCATTGTTACTGCACACTTGCTCAGACAGCAAACCATTCTACTCGATGGTTTTCACAAAAAACGAATTCGCGTACAGGTTCGTCCTGGTCCGGCAGGGCCTTATTTTGTGTATATGATCCATATGTTAAGATATGTACTCTGGCTGTTTTAGGTAAAGGTCTCTCTCAATTCCCGTTTTATTATGAAATATCTGATATAACAACATCAAACGTAGTTTTTTACACCGTGATGAAAGCGACTCCCAGTTTAAGCCTTTTTTTCATATCGGTACAATTGTGATTTCTTCCATACCGACTCGGGACAAACCTGGCTGCTCTGTTATGAATTTTTTATATTTTATTAATCAAGCCTACTTGTGACGGGTCCCAAAGAGTACAAGCTTATTCTAAAATTGGTCGAATATAGGCCAGGTAAGCCATGTTTTTAAGCTGATAATCTGCACATCTCAAGTTCCTTTGAATATAGTTCAATGCCACCACAGCCTTAGCAACCACATTATCCACATGTGCATTCCAGGAACAATCGTGCGACAGTAATACAGCCAAATATTTGTGAACAATCGTGCGACAGTAATACACCCAAATATTTTTACCTACATTTTATATCTAAAATAATTCTACTTGAATAATAGTTAGCATTTATTATTTTTTTCTTTGAAAAACACATGTGGATGCACTTGTTAGGGTTTAAATTCATTTGCCGTATAAGACACCATTGATAAATACGTTCAAGGTCAGCCTGTAATTCACTGACATCATGTTCATGTTGAACTTTTCCATAAATAACGCAATCATCTGTAAATAGCCGAATATTAGAGCCTATGCCCACATTAATGCCATTAATAAAAATGACGAATATAGTAGAGGCCCCAGCACAGACCCCTGAGGATCGCTAAATGTTACTTCAAGAAAATCTGATTTAATACCATTTAAAACAACGCATTGGCAGCGTTGAAACAAGTACCGTATTTACTCAATTCTACTGCATTCTCGATTGTAATGCGCACCCGGTTTCCACGACGAAAAAAAAGAAGTAAGACATCGATTGCAACGCGCACCCATTTTTCTCGTTGGCCCACACGATCACACCACTCAGGAAAAAGATTCCTTTTGGGAGCGTCTTCCATTTAAATATGAGGTACGGGGGAAGCTTGTGCCTATCTGACGTGCAATGGAGCATTGCCGTCACTCTAGTTTTACCGTGGCCCGATGTCAGCACGCGAACTTGCTTCGCCCCCTTCTTCTCGACGGTTGTGGTGCCAGGCATGTCGAAGTAAAGAGGCGTCTGATCGGCATTCCCGATTTGCCCAAGCAGGGAGCCGTTGTTGTGCCGCAATTTTAGGACGAAATCTCTGAAAACTGAAGCTTTTCTTCGTACTCCTCCAGCAACTTTTGGCATATGCCCGTTCGCCTTCAGAGGAAAAAGCCTTTCCTCTTCATAAAATTAGTTAACCAGCACCTGCTCGCTTTAAACTGTCTCCGCATTAGCCCTTTTTCTAAGGCTAACTGCACAGCCTGCACTTGGAGCAGTTCTGTCGTCACGGGCCGCTGTGCCGCTCACTGCTCAATCACATACTCGCCGAGCAGCTCTTCAATTTGCGGAAACCGACCCTGCTGTGGTCCACTAAAGCCTTTGCGTGAATCTTTGCTGTCAACAATATCCTGCTTTTGTTTCCGCCAGTCCCGCACGCACGTTTCGGGAACTCCGAACGACCGCGATGCGGCCCGATTTACGTCCGTTTCTGCACACGCCATGACTTCTTTCAAAAGCGGCATCGTGGTGCACTCGAATTTTTGGAGTCGGCCCTTCCATGCCGTCCATGCTAATGCACTACAAGATGACGAACTCCTCAGCACACGTACGAAGTGCTGCACATGGGAAACACATAGGCAGAAATGGCCGACGCGCCACGCCGACGCACGTAGACGGGGCCATTTTGGAATGCCGATGGCAATAGAATGACCGTATAAATTTTTTTTCGTATTCGATTCTAACGCGCGTGCAATTTATGAACTCTATTAACCGGAAAAAAGGTGCACGTTAAATTCGAGTAAATACGGTACTTTTCAATCCAATGAAGAATTTTTTTGTCTATATTTAGCGCTCGTAGTTTTCCAAGAAGCAGAGGATGGGAAACAGTGTCAAAGGCCTTGCTATAATCCAGAAAAATGCAGTCTCTTTGGCCACCCAAGTCTATTTCTGACGCTAGGTCGTTAAAAAAACTCAAGAAGCTGTATTGTACATGAAAAACCTTTACAAGAACTGTGTTGTTTCTTTGTTAATAAATTGTGATCTAATAAATACTTGATTGATATGTGGGGTTTAACGTCCCAAAACCACCATATGATTATGAGAGACGCCGTAGTGGAGGGCTCCGGAAATTTCGACCACATGGGGTTCTTTAACGTGCACCCAAATTTGAGCACACGGGCCTACAACATTTCCGCCTCCATTGGAAATGCAGCCACCGCAGCCGGGATACTAATAAATACTTCATTAGAGCATTGTATATTATATTTTCAATAATCTTGCAGGATATCGATGTAAGCGAAATAGCTCTATAATTCACGACGTCTTTCTTGGAACCTCTTTTGTGAATTGGGACTACATTAGCTACTTTCCAATCTTGTGGCAACCGACCAGTACATAATGATTTTTCAAAGATTAAGTAAAGATAAAGTGAAATGTAACGGTAAATGGTGAAATGGTGAAATGTAAATGGTAAAGTGAAAAATATGTGTGTCTCTCCTTAGATGTTCAGTCTTTTGCACTGGTAAATCTGTCTTAAGCATGAAACAAGCAGCAGTTGTAGCTGCATTCCTTGGCTTTAACAGTGTTTCATCCCACTGCCAAAGTAGTTCTCAGAGGCCACCTTGAAAGAAAGATGATCTGCTCAAACAAGTGTTGCAACTATCACAGCTTCTCGCAAGAAAAGCATCTGCTCTTTCAATGAACTCAGTTAGTTGTCTTAAGCAAGCTAATGGCTCAATATCATAGTATGTGCAGACGACGTCCGATTTCCTGAACCCTTCAGAAACCGTGACAACGTCCGAAAAAATGAATTCAAGCGAAAACACACTTTTGAATAGGTATTTTTTGCTGACAGAGAGAGTCGCAGCATGAGTACAGGGTTCTCATTGCAAGTCAGCAAATAGATCGTTTGGGTGACCTTGAAAAGAGCCGAAAAAAAAAATATACAATGTGGCCGGCACTACTGCATTTGCAAAAACTTAGGCGAGGAGGAAAGGGCGAGGGGCGGGAAAAGTTGCTTATTGTCGTTTGCACGGCGTTCCATTTGCTTGTGATGATGTCTGCCTGAATTTCAGTGAACACCATGTCGCTGTACATCGATGACAGTGTCAGTGCTCGTGTCAACTCCAAGCTCGTTGGCTGTGTAGGCACTGCCTCTTTGATCTCAGTGTCAGAGTCGTTCTCGGAATCCTCTGTAACTTGATGTATAATTTTGTCATCGTTCAATTCTGCACACATCTTGAGGTCTTTGTCAACGTTGGCGAAGCTCTCAAGGCTTATTGGAATCGAAACATCGGCAAAGTGCAGGTCATCGAAGGCAACGTCCACGGGTGGAAAAGTTCGTTGCACACGCTGTCCACTCCGGGCGAGACAGCCGTCACGGTATCCAGTATGAAGATCACATGGTGAAAACCATTCCGGAGGGTCTGTTGTGTAACCACCTTTCACGAGTCTGCAAGCATGCTGACAGCAGACCGAAGGTCAACAGCGTAGCTTTTGTCACTGTTGGAGCACAGGATGCACTATAGAGTTTCATATGCCTCGGAACCGAAAATGCCTCAATCCAGTGCTCGCCAATACGTTGCCAGCTATAGCCTCTGGCTATAGTGCCTAGAATATACTGGCTAGTGTGCTGAGCGGAGGGGTTCACAATGGGAGAAAATGGCACGACCGATGACGCCTTCCAACTTTCGCCAGCAGGCGTCGCCACTTGTCGCTAAGGTGCTGCCAGTGCAGCTTGTGCGTATGCGTGTTACCGGTGTTGCTTCTGCGGCATTGTCAGTTCTTAGTGCCTTGTGTTGTCAGAAGTTGTATAAGTGACGTGTGCATTGCTCTGAACAAGTTCGCGCTGTTCGTTGTGCCACTGAGAACCGCGAAGACATGATTCAACGGGAGAGGCATCAGGGCAGGCAGAATACGTTGATTGATTTGATTGATTGATATGTGAGGTTTAATGTCTCAAAACCACCATATGATTATGAGAGACGCCATAGTGGAGGGCTCCAGAAATTTTGACCACCGAGAGTTCTTTAACGTGCACCCAAATCTGAACACATGGGCCTACTACAGCATTCTCGCCTCTACCAAAAATGCAGCTGTTGCATCAAACGGCTGCAGAAGAATCAAAAGGCTGCCTTCTGTTCCTTGATGTCCTTGTGAAACGAGACGGTAGGCGCCTGACTTTCAGCGCGTACAGAAAATAAACACACACCGGTCGTTTTCTAAGCTTCAATTCTGTGCACCCATCCTGCCAAAAACGTTCTGTTGTGTATACACTCGTAAAGCACGCTTGGAGGATTTGTTCTAGGGAAGAAGACGCAGTAGAAGATGTTGAGTCCGTTTTACGGGAGCTGGCTACTTGCGGATACCCGCTTTCCTTCATGAACTCGGTGCAGCGACAACTGCAGCGTCCGGCTCAGTCACACACCATTGCTACAAGAAAACGCGCATCGGTGCCTTACGTCCCAGGCTTCAGCGAGACCCTCGCTCGGGTATTGCGCGGCTACGATGTCCAAGTGGCTCACGTTCTGGCACGAAAGCTCCGAGGTCGTCTTACAAATGTCAAAGATAAGTTGGACAGACATGATTTTCCCAGCGTGGTGTATAAAATTCCTTGCAAAGACTGGGAATACGGATACATTGGCGAAACGGGCAATTACAAAAGAAGGCTCCGGGAACATTTTAATGACGTCAAGAACAAGAAAGTAGCTTCTAATGCCCTCGCAGAACATGTTGCGTCTACTGTGCACGCTATCGACTAGTATAAAGCCTGCATCATTGCCACGGAAAGAAAGTTGTTACCACGATTGCACATATAATCTCTGGCTATTCAAACTACTGCGCATACGTTGAACAGAAATATTGGGACACTCCCCCCTGTGTACGCGCGATGTCTGCAACACGTGATGAAACATGCATAAGAAGAGCGCACTACGCCATTTGCGGTCACTGTGAACAAGGCTCCCATGTGGGGAGCCAAAACGTCTTTTTTAAGTTTTGTGTATTTCACCTTGGTCGGCGTTTGTTATTTTGCGCTTAGAATAACAATTCAAGCTGAAGAATTCATCACTAAATCTGCATCACAGATTCTTTGTGGCAGATGTGACCTGAAACCTGATTCGGGAAAATTCGCCAAATTCAGAGAACTGAATCTTTCCGAGAACCTTGAACTTGGTGTTGATACTGAAGGGGAGAGCTGCACGCAGTGCCAACATCTGCAAAGGCTCATGCAAAACAGATTGCGCAGGAATAAGCGCACAGCACGCTGTCAGTATGCAACATGCCCTAAACAATCAAACAATGTATCTCATGCGAAAAAAAAAAAGAAAAACTGGCCACAGTGCAACAGCAGGTGGCTTACATGAAAGTGGAAAATGAGGCACTAAATGAGCAGTGCAAGAAAGAATAGCAACCCTCCCTCGAAAGCAGCAACTTGCTGTGAAGACCTGTTTTCTAGCTGCCCAACAAGAATCTATGAAACGCATCTTGTACGATGAGAACTAAATAGTCGAGTGCCTTCTGATGCAAATGCGTAGCCCGAGACTCTATGAGCACCTACGCAAAGAAAAGATAATTGTTTTGCCGGGGCGAGCTTACATGCAAAAGTACATGCAGTGGTTTAAAGGCAGTGTTGGACTTAATTCAAATATATTTCCTGCCTTAAAAAAACAAACCAGAAAGATGGATTTTTTAGCCTCCACGGGGGCCTCCTCATCGACCAGCTCCGGTCAAAATATCTTCACGCTTGACAATTATCAAAGCCACGTGATCTGACTAACTCGGCAGAGAGTATGCCCTTAGCATGATGCTGCATCATACCGAGTGTAATAAAATAAAATATACCATGACTGAGCAGTTTCAATAGCAGTTGACTAGATTGAGGTCGAGTAAAACCAATGCACTGAAAAAAAAAAAAAAAAACGTGAACAGGCCGGGATGAAGAAAAAAAAAAAACACTCAAGCACTTTTGTTCAGTCCCATGTGGCACGATTTTTAACACAGTAAGATGTACCAAGTGGCAGCCAGCTGCGACGACACCCTTAATCGAGCAAGCTCGACCGCGAACGTTCTCATGTAGCTACGAAAAGTCCGAGTTTTATTGTTTGAGATTGAAACTGCCGTGAGCCTATCTTACGACACGATTTCTTGCATCTGATGCATCAGCCTTAGCTTATTATTTTCAAATGACTTCTTGTATTCGACCTTGGTCATTATAAGCACGAAATCGTGAAAACAAGTAGACGACATAAGGTGCGCGAGTGTGAAATGCTTAGTTATTTTGTCCTTCCGAACCAGCGGAGGATTCTCTTCGGGCATTTACTTGGCACTAAGACTTCCTCCGTACAGTCAAGTGTCTTGTGAAGTGTGTTAAAAGCAACGGAGAAGACTAGATTCGTGGCAGAAAGTGCTGCGCTATGCTGCTCATAGTGCAGGAGCCGCCGACGCGCGGTGGACCTTAGAGAGTGGCAGTGCCACCATGCGGTGACTTCGGGAAGGCATCAGCGTGGCTGCCACGCAATAGTGCGCGCTCAGCCCACTAGTCAGTACATTCTAGGCACTATACTCTGGCCGTAGCTTAGGTGAGAGGCTAGGACTGGCAACGGATTGGCGTGCGCTGGATTGCATCATTTTCCGTTTTGAGGGTACGGCAGCTGCGGCGCGGTGGTTTCGAGTGTCCGAAAAAAACTTGAATGGCGGCATCGATGGTGACTTCGAGTCTGCGATTAGCAACAAGAAGTCCAAATAATCGGATGGCGGAAGCTACAAACCTTTATAATTTCAGACTTTTTAATACATTGACTCTACGGGGAACTTGGTGGTGCTAGAGATGATCCCGGAAAATCGGGCATGTCCAGAACTTCAGGCACCTGATTTCTCGGGTGCCGACAGTATGTGTACAATTCTCAACTCGAACCAGAACCATTGATTTCATACAAACTGCATTTTTCAAAACACTATCTTTCGATATTCAGAAAATTGTAAGTGGTTGAGTGCAAGGGCTTGGGAAAGAAATGAAAGTGTCCGTTGCTGCTTGTCACACAAAAGAGTCGTGCTCAGTCATTGAGACACAAAACACGCCGTGTGCTTTCAACTCAATCCGAGCAAAGGTAACAGTGGCTACAACACAAAAGGCGGCATACCTTAAGATCTGATGCATACGGCGTTTCCTTTGGGTCCCACCATGGCTGTGCTTTCAGGCCATCGACGCTGTACAGAGAGCGCTGGTAAACAGATGCAAAGAGCCCCTCCTTGACTCCTTCTTTGTAGACCTCCAGGGCCTGAGGAAAGTATTGCTTTGTACTATCACAAGTTATTGTAATCTTCGAGGTGCACAGAATGCATCAATGTAAGGTTACCAAAAGTAGAGGTCCTTAAAGAAAAAGGTCTGTTGTGCGCTTCAGCATTTTAATGCAGGACGCAGCACAAGAATACTATATGATGAAGAAGGTAAAGAATAGCACCTGTCTTTGTTTTATATATTGCACTAAAAGGTTTGAATGATGATTGAATGGATACAACTTCATTTGAAAAAAAAAAAGTACTCAATGTGACTGGGCCCCTAGACTTCCAGGTACCCTCTGGCTGACATCTCTAGGCAGGCCCGATCCACCAGCCACAACTAGTCATCCAAGCCAGTGGCCGAAAGAGCGGCCTCCCACGAGGAAAGGGAAGGATTAGGGATAGGGTCTACCAACAAGGGTTTTGCGCAGCTCTACAAGCAGTGGAAAAAATCAGTCCGGGTTGATGCAATGTGGTTGGTTAAGAGCGGGTTGAAATGGGTGTGCCAGATAGGGAAAAATAAATGCTTCTATCTGGAGCTGGTGCCATATTGAATTCTGATTAGGGGTGGGGGAGTGGTGCGGGGCAAAAAAATCTCGTCTGCCATTTTGGTAATATGTCGAAATATCATGCTGGGTGCGGATTTTCTCTCCTGGTTTTTTCTTTTAACATGCACAGACTTGTGCTGTTTCAAACTGTTGTGTGCGCATACTGTGAGGCACTACAATGGTGGGTGACTTAGAAAAGAGTTAGGAAATTCTACCCTGAGGCACACAAAGCAAAATTCAATACAACATGTGTATAAGTCTTGTGAAGAATTTTCAACAGAAAATGCAGAATCTAAACCAACTAGGAAAAAGGCCAGCAGAAGCTGCAAAAATCTATAACGTACAGGAAGCCTAGGGAACACAGAGAAATTCAAACCTCAGTTAACTCATTCTCAACCCAAGCAAAAGAATTAGTAAGTTCAGCAGTTAATCAGTCAGCATATTCGTATTTTTTTTTCATCAAAACAAACAGTGATGAAAAAGAAACTGGAGACGGTGACAAAGCTGCAGATGCTGCAGTTTGACTAAGCACTGTCCAACCCTGTACGAGTGCTGACAGGTTAAATGTACAGTCCTGTCAACTATTGGCGCGAACACAGCGCAACGTGGACGCACTTCGCGAGGCACCAGTGCTCATGTATTGCCCGATTTTTTATGACGCGCTTGAGCGCTCTCCAAGGGCATTGCAAAATAATGCGCAGTTTTCTGGAAACGACGCGAGTGATTCCTTCCTTCACTGCTTCAATTGCAGTTAATTGCATGCATCTTTTCAAATTGCTCAGGATTGTTTTGGTTTATCGCAAGGCTACTAAGACTTGCTGGATTCTTGAAGGAGAATGTCCGCATTCCCCTAGCTTTACGGCGAACAGAAGAGTATTTTCAGGGATTTCTTAAATGGGGCTTTGCTGCTTTTTTTACATAACGTGCGTGCGTGTGTGCTCTGAAGTGGCGTATCAAAGCTTGGACTAACAAGGCGGCCGAGTCCTCTTTTAGCTTCTTCAGATTTACCACCTCAACGATGACATGTATTCCGCACGTATGTCATCGTAACGGTAAGGCATTCTCCTTGTGGCCTATTTCGCACTAAAGAGGCAGCAACGAACACTCGTGTCTGTAAGTAGACGGAGCCGTGGCAGCGACTCCTAACTTCAGAGTGGCCTCATACTCTCTCCAATGTTCCTGATATTGCTAATGCACTATCAACCGCAGCTCAGATATCAGCCAATGTTTCAACTGGTGTCATGAAAAGAAGGCTTGTGTTGAGTACTACACAGTGAGAACAGCAACAGTAATCTCTGTAAGAAAAGTAACTTTGGCCGTGGCACAATGTGGTGTTCATCTCTTTGAGAGACATAATAAAAGCTTTCTCGTCGCAGTGCTTCTGACATTCACTGACTGAAATTGTAAAAAAGATAAGCTTATGAGCACGTTGGTCAATGCTCTTAAGAGTATGGGAAATGCAGCTTCGTTACATGTACATGAAGCATGGGCCTATAGCTTTCAACACGTCATCGGCCAGCAGTAAAAGGGAATGCGGCAGGGGCAATGGTTGAAGGATGTCAATCTAATCTTTTGAATTGCATCTTTCGAGGAATCTTTAAGCATCAGCTACCCATGGCCTTATCCGTTGCTATCAGCCCAAGTGTAACAGACGTTGTCATACAGTGCTTTCCTGCCCTTTGAACCACGCTTGGGCAGTAACGCGTTACCGGTAACTAGTTACTTTTTCCAGTAACTTTTAACTATAACCAGTTACTTTTAAGTTAGAGGGAGTTGTAAATGAAACACTTACTATTTTACACAGTAACTTTATCGAAAAAGGGCGTTATAGTTACTTTTGTCTCTATAAAAAATTTTCCTACAGCAACACTCGTGAAAGGCCATTGTTAAACGATTTTAATTTATTTCTACTTTTTCTTTACCATGTTCTCTCCACCTTTCAACTTTTCACGATAGGGCTTCCCTCGCAGATTAGAAAACGTCGCTACGAGGAATACAGTCGACTCTCGTTAATACGAAGATCACGGGGACCGCAAAAAACTTTGAATTAAGCGGAATTCCAATTAACCACAATGAACGAAAAATACATTTATTTCAAAGCAGTTTATGAGAAAAAATCTGTGATAGCCGTTTGCTTCTGTTTGCTGAATCTTGCAGCAGAAAGCAAGTCCTGCAGGCTGTATATGTGCCCAAGTGCTTCCTCGGCGTTGCTCTCAGCAGTGAAAAACCGCTGCGCAAGGGCAAGGCCTGCGGCTACATCAGCAGCCCGCGGTAGTGGCTCACTTGCGGCGTCGTCGTCGTCAACCCCAGTTTTGTGACTAGGCTCGCTGGGCTGAACCATCTCCACGATCTCAGCGTCCGACAGTGCACCGCACGTTTCTACCGAACTGTCAGTGGCAATGTACTCCTCGAAAGGGACGTCGCCGAGAGCTGGCAGGAGACCATCAACGTCAAGCTCACCTGTGTCTTCTTCCCCCACTGTACAAGACGCGTCATTATCTGCACCACATGGAATGAAGCCGCACGCCCTAAAGCAGTTGGCAATGGTTTCATCCTTTACGTGACCCCACGCTTGCGCCAGCATATGGAAACGCTGAGTCTGCACACGACCGTAACGAGATCAACAATGAGGCCCGTAACCGGAACCGCCGGAGCAGCCGTTTCGTGATCTGGGGCACTGCATGCAACTGCGATGCCATCAGCTGACGCTTTGAGCTGCGGCACTGTGGTCAACTGCGATGCCCTTGGGTGCCCGTCGGACGCGCATAGTTGTTTAGCACTTCGAAAATAGGAAATTTAACAAACATTACGATTTCCTCCGGGAATTCGATCGAAAATAAATTCGAATTAACCGAAATTTCAGACCTCTAGCTTCTAATTACCGAGAATTTCTTCCTGTTGAACTACATTCAAAACTGATGGGACCCCCACTCCACTTCCAATTAACCGATAACTCCAATTAAGCGACTTCGAATTATCGGGAGTCAACTGTATCTTTATTGCAGAAAACCACATTTGGGGTTTGCTTGTAAACTGCATGCCGTAAATCAATCACATCACAACGGAACAGCCCCCCCGCCTTCTTGCCACTATATATATTTTGTCACCTGACCTTCTAGCATTGTTCTTCATGAGCTGGTGGAGCATTTCTTGATCCGAAGTTCCTAAATATCGTGTTAACAGGTGGCTAGGAAACCGCAACACAGAGCGGCTGAAAACAGAAGGCGGTATACAAATAATTTTTTTTAAACTTTTGTGTAACTGATTCTACAAGTCTACTTCGACTTGATGTACAGTGGCAACAACAACAACAACAACAACCAAAAAAGACGGACACCCATCAGGCCATTAGTCACACATGATGTTGCAATCGTTTTCAGAAGTTGCCCTTCTTCATTATGGCTTCTTTTCATGCATCGTCGCATTGTTTATGTCAAATCTATGCCTACTCTGGCAGTGTTGAACAGGCTTTGTCTAACATGGGCATAGCCATGTGGGGGCACTTAAACCCTCCCCAAGTTTTTACAATTTTGGTTGTGTGTATAGACACACACACATACAAATACACGCACAAACATACATAAAGTATAAGTGAATCACATAGGCTTTTGCAGAGAAAATGCCTGTATTAGAGTTCAGAACACCGACATCTGAGAAAGATGGACCGACGGCTGCGTATGACACAGAAGTGTGAGATTTAGATGCATCTGTAAGGAACTCAGGACAGGTGTACTTGTGCTGCAGTTAAAGAAAGTATGTGCGGATATGTTGAAGAGGTGCATGTTTTGCGACTTCCACAATCTATTAATTGCCACTGCCACAGAGGGATATTTGCAGTGAGGGCTGCCAAATGCTGCTCGAGAAGTGGCACACCCATTTCTTTTGCCAGGTCCGTCACACGAAGTGCATGGGGCTGTCGCAGCAAAGCGCGGCTGTGAAAAAGAGTTGAGGAGGACACGTTATTGATTATGGGGTGCGTCGGGTGATCCTTGTTTGCGTTCACCTTCAGGAAATATACGAATTATATGAAAGATCTCTGCAGATGGAGTGACCACTCATTAGACTCAACGTAGAGGCTTTCTATAGGGCTAGTGTGAAAAGCACCCGTTGATAGGCGAATGCCTAGATGGACAGGATCAAGCATTTGCAAAGTGCTTTGTGTTGTAGTCTGATAGATTATTGCCCCGTTGTCTAAGCGGGTGTGCATGAGGCTTTTGTACAAATCTCTCAGGCACATTTTGTCACTACCCCCACGTGGTGCGTGACAAGATTTTTAGGACATTTATTGTTTTTATGCATTTATTTTTCAAATGCTTAATGTGTGATATGAATGTCAGTTTACTATCCAGAATCAAGCCCAAGAATTTGTGCTTCGTGTTCACAGAGAGATGCTAACCATGGAGGTAGATATCTGAGTCAGCACGAAGGCCTCGCTTACCAGAGAACAGGATGCAGGTACTTTTTTGAGCATTAAAGCTGAAACCATTTTCAACTGACCATGTTGCGATTTTGTTCAGAACTAGTTGCAACTGTCGCTCACACATTGCAAAATTGCATGACTTAAGACCTACTTGCACATCGTCGACATATGTGCAATAGAAAATATTTCGTGGGATGTAAAGATGCAAGGAATTCATCTTGATAATAAAAAAAGTGCAACTAAGCACACCACCCTGTGGCACACCCGTCTTTTGTAAAAATGTTTGGGACAACCCATTGCCCACCCACACAGAGAATGTCCGGTTGGACAAGTAACTTTAGATTATGATGAACATTCTACCGTGCACAACAAGGTGATGCAGGTCTCTTAATATACCAAAGCGCCATGTATTGTCGTAAGCTTTCTTCATATCGAGAAAGACTGACAGAAAATATTGACTGTGGACAAAAGTGTCTCGGATCTCTGCGTCGATACGTACTACCAGGTAGTCAATGATGGATCTGCCTTCTCGCCTTTGTTCTTTGACAATGGTTATCAGAAAAGGCAATGCCACAATCATGCAAAAGTTGGAATGATTAATTGGCCAATTCGGTGCTGTTGCAGCGGTGCAACTTATGAAAATGCAGCGGCCCAAGGGAACTAGATGGCGACCATCACGTAATATCTGCTCGCGATGAGTGCTGTCAACATTACCTGCAGTTACAAAACCACATCGTGGCACAGCAATGGTGTAAATTAGACAAAAAAAAGAAAAAACCTTTTGGAGCAGTGTGGCGCAGTAATTACGAGTTGGCGCAGGTCTCCCACCACTGAAATTGCTGAACAAAATGTGCTACCTTTTGAAAAAAAGTGTTTCACATGTTTTATAAGTGGATCATGTCTCAAGAGGGCTTGGGGTCAAGATTCGAGAAACATCAGTACTAAACCCCAGAATGTCTCAATACTAGACACCGATAACAAAATGAGGTGATTATGTTCCACGGTTATGTTTCAATACATGGCGACCCCGTGGAGTCTTCCCTCCCCCCCCCCCCCCCCCCCCCCCCCAATGCTTGATACAAGCTCTATATAGCAGAAGAAAGAGTACTTAATTGCAATAGCCAAGTAATTATTGTGAGTATCATTCAGAAATATCACAAATATTGTATTCTTGATGAAGCCACCGGGCACACGCATGTTTGTAACTGCTTATTTGATCTTGAACAACAACAAGAACAACACGCGGCTCAAACTACACAACAAGCGAAGAGTACTTTTTTGCAATGCCCTTGAGGAGCGCTCAATCGCTACTGGCATGCTGATAGTTGGGCATGCTTTCCTGCAAAGCAAGCACGGCACTTGAGCACATAAGAGATTAGGCAATGCCTGTGGGCCTGCACAGATTAGCTTCGATGCGCCACAGTGTGTGCTGGCCCCCCGTGCAGCGCTGCGACAGTGTACCGTGTTCGCAAGAGTGGACAGCACTGTATAAGCAAAAGGCAAAATAATTATTGTGCTTATGACGCTGTTGCTATAGCAACAAGCAACGTGGTGCCTGACCACGCCGTTTTGTTTACGCGGTCGAACAGCTGGGTGAGGCTGGTAGAAATGAGCCTCCCCGACTTGTCAGAACTCGAAGAGGTCCTTTTGCTTCAGAGCGAGGCTTTACGCCTCCTGCGATAGGCTGCGCTCATCGTCGTCATTTCCGCCCGCCTATTTCTAGCGAGCGCCACTGTGCGCCGACGAGGTCGGCAGCAATGAGGTGACTTTATCGCACGATTAAAATACTAATGGTTTTAATATCGGTGCTTGGACCTATGCTAAAATTATCCCCGGCCATCGGTCTACCCAAAACACATTAAAAAAATAGGTGCTTCAAAAGTGTTGGAGGGACCCTTTAAAATTCCTCGCTCTAAGGCGGGTAAAAACACAGAAGTAATAAAATCATAACCATATCATGAAAAGTGTGTGGTGTTAATGGACGACGAAAGTTTGTGATAATAAAATAGTTCACACCCTTGCGTCCAAGGGCTGCGAGGCAAGTGCTTTGGTGAGTGTAGACACCGCAGCGGAGACCACTCTGGAGATGTCATGCTACGGAATGCCCGGGTACTTGATATAAAAGGTACAAACTTCTCTCAAAAAAGCTAACAACGATTTATAGGTGACAAGTGGTTCCCTACTGACGAACATTGCAAAATGAAGTGGTATCTGTTGTCGGTAGGGTAATGAAAAGTGTTGTATTCTCAGCGTGTCTAATTCTTTACACTAGATTAGAATGTGAAGTACCATGAGTGCTTTTCCACATCTATCCCACAAAGGTGGATCGCCACCAGACAAAAGAAATGAATGTGTTGTGTGTGTATGTCCTGTTCTTAAACTTGTCAGTATTACTTCTACGTGGCGTGATTTTGATACTGGCGGCCAATGACCAAGTTGCGGCTTCATGACATGCAATTTATTACCTGTGCGTGAGTCCCATGTGCTCTGCCAATAACTCCCGAGCTTTTGTTTTAGAAAAAATTTCAAATCGAGTGCAGGAGCTGGTATCAATGTATTGGTAGCGGTTTTGTTGGCGGATCTAGCTAGCTGGTTCACCAGATCGTTGCCTTGTATTTCACGGTGTTTTGGCATCGAACAGACTACAACACGCTGCTTAGATGAGTAGACTGTGCATAAGAGCGAATAAAGCGAGACAAGGACAGGGTTTCTGTACTTTTTTAAGAGATTTTAGAGCTTTTACTACATTTAAAGAATCTGTATATATTCTTGCCTTCTGTACTTTTATTTTTTAATGTGTTTAACGGCCGCAAGTATCGCATAAGCTTGGCCAGTGAAAATGTTTGCATCAGAGTGCAGGACGTTGGCTTTTGAAAAGGATGGGCCGACGGCTGCGTACAAGAAAGAAGTGTTGGACTTCGAAGCATCCGTAAAGAACTCAGGACATGTGTATTTATGTTGTAGTTCTAGGAAGTATGTTCGAATATGTGCAATTGGCACGTGCTTCGTAACCTCTAAGAAAGACACATCACAATCTATTGCCTGCCACTGCCACGGTGGCAGGATTGCTGCGGGAGCCATCAAACGGTGTTCAAATGGCACACTGGTTCCCTTTGCTAGGCCCCTAACATGGAGTGAGTAGGGCTGTCTCATAGAAGGCCATTTTTCAAGCACAGCAGAACTTAACATGTTGTTAATTGTCGAACATAAAGGGTGTTCCTAGTTAGCGTTCACTTTAAGATAATATTTAAAAGACATGTAACATCTCTGTAGGTGGAGCAACCATTCGTTCGATTCCACGTACAGGCTTTTCTCGGGGCTAGCGAAAAGCACCCATAGAGAGACGAATGCCTAGATGATGAACAGGGTCAAGCATATTAAGGGCAGTAGGTGTCGCAGACTAATATGCTATTGCCCCATAGTCTATTCGGGTACATATGATGCTTTTAAACCAATTCATTTAACACTTTTTGTCACTTTCCCACGCAGTGCGTGACAACACTTTTAGAACATTCATTGCTTTTATGCACTTGTTTTTTTAAATACTTCATGTATGGTATGAAGGTTAGCTTGGTGTCCATAATTAAGCCCAAGATTTTGTGTTCAGTATTAACAGAAAGACATTGCCCATGCAGTTTGACGAACTTGCAGAAAATGTAACTAATGAAGTGGGGCTACGTGTGCACTAATATGATAAGGCATCATTCATCAGTGAAAATGCATGCAGTAGGAGCTGTGCAATGCTGGGGTTCCTGTTCATGACATTTTCCTGAATCCTAAGCTCTGGAACTCCAGTACCGTTTAATCCCCACAGTAGGGTGTGTATATTAGTGACTCGTTTCATACAATTTTCTTTCAGGCTGTCATATCCACAAACTGTAACAGCAGCTGAGGGATCCATGAAGTATCTTTTGACCGATAAAACTTTCACCAAACACATCTCACCAATACGCTTCATGTGGGAAGTCAAACAAATTAGGCAGAAAAACTTGCAGCCATAGGTCAGCAAACTCACTCACTCAGATTGAACCGTAAGTCTGAGTCTGGCTGAGTAATATTTTGGTGAGTGTCAGTTCAAAACAGAAGATATACTTTTTGGGTGAGTCTGACTTAGCTCCACCTTTTTTTGCCGTCCTATACCTACAGCTGTTACTAATTAATGTCTCTAAAGAAAATCAAAACTAAATCCAGTTAATCAGTACCACAGTAAAAAAACTGCAAAGTTAGTCATAAAAAATCGAAAATAGGGGAAAAAGTTGGAAAAAGTGAGTAAAATAACAAAATGATACCAAAGTTACCACTGCACAGTTTTTTTTTATGATTCTTCACCATATAAACACCCAGGCTGGTTTAATACAGCAACTTGCTTGAAAAAAAAAAAAGCTACCTTTTCATTTTGTCCAGTCCTCTGGAGAGCGTCACCAAGGTGCAAGAAAAAGCGTCCATCTATGACTCCTGGCTCCCTAGTTGCAATGCCTTCACTGAGGTACTTGATGCCACCTTCCAAGTCGTTCTTTTCAGTCTTCAATATAAAACCATAGTGCACCTTTGCAAACCCATTGCTTGGGTCTTGTTTCAAAACCTGGATGAGCAAGGACACAAACTGAGCTTGGTGCACTGAAAGCTGCCAACAGCAGAAATTGGATATAACCTGAAAGAATCGCCCACGATTAACACAGCAGAGCTGTTAAACTTTTGTTACATCGGAAGTTGTCTACAGAAAAGCGTCATCATCATGAACGTGCTTTGTTTGTCCTCATCTTTTGCTTCATTTCCAGAACACGTGTGCACATTTGTCTTGCGTGGGATGCAATAACTCTGATGACCCAGAGAATGAGTACAGTAAGAGATATTCTTGACAAGAAAACTTCTTGACTGATCGGCATCACATAGGCAAATGATCTGGCTGATGATGGTAATTTTTCCAATTCGGAGTGAAGAAATATTATTCATGATTATTGTAACATCCCATGATCTGTAGTAGGTATTAAGAAAACAGTAACAGAAAGAAAATATGCAATCGCAGCTTACTACAGTCAAAATGCCTTACTTTAGACTTCACAAGACTGGAAAAAACGCCTGGATTCAATGAATGCGGAATTATGAAAAGTATAAAAAATACAATAAACAATTGTCGGTTACATTAATACACTTTCATTTTCTTGATGAGTACGTAAATCCCGTAGTTGTTTTGCATAAGAACACTGTAAGAGCCACAGTTTTCATGATCCTACAACTGTGTTGTCAATGCGATCACTGTGCCAGACTGCCATGATTATTTAGACTGTCTCTGCACCCCTCCGTTATTACATACTGCCACCAATACGGATGAGCTCTTGACGACAGCTCTTTCATACGTAATATGCTGGCACCAGATGATCAGAACACAGCAATCTTGTTTTATGCCAACATACTAACCACCGTTGAAAGCTTTTCATTTTCAACAGCTTCCCTGATGCCTGAATTTTGAGACAATGTGTACGCATCACATCTAGTTGAAACAAAGCTGCTAATTGGCGGATACTCAAGTGAACAAAACCACCATCCCGACCAACTGATGAAAATAGCAATGCGGACAGTGCCACTTCTTTTCGATTTTCTGCAAACGACATTTTCACTCTTTTGCGTGGCACAATTGAGGATCATTAGAAATAACCGCGTTGTGGCCAAATTTGCCCAAATAAACAAAAGTTTGGTGCTGCTAAACAATACTAATGTTGGCCGAGACCTAAAAATATGCCCGAATTATCCAAATTTTCTCATTTACAAGAGCTAAAATAACGAGCTTTCACGGTACTACGCTTGGCAACTTCCAGAAGACAGCGAGCATTGCCTGCCCGTATTACAACATACTGTGTACACACAAGTTGTGTCACCAGCATTGACCTTCATTTTTCTTTTCTATAGCACAAAAAATCACCCCTGTTACGTTGTGAGATGCAAATCAGTCAATCGGTGACATGCTAGGTTATGACACTGTGTGCCTGTGCAAGGCGACTGGCAAGAGAAATCCCTGCAGTTAACAAGTGTAGCAAATTTGAATCTTGCAATGTCATTAATGCCAGGATGTGCATTTTCCAACCATTACATCACCCTCACACATGCCACCACACTGCCTGTGTCTATGCCTAACAATACCTTTGCCAGAAAGCTTAACATAAGGAAAGAACATAAACTTACCACAAGTTTTATCACAATTTATGCATCAGAGGTGTTTCTTTCTTTCTATTTAATAATTAAACACAATTCTAGAATTTCCTGTTCCAGTGCCACGATTATGATTTTTAGACATATGATAAGGAAACCTGGGATCCTTTATCATGCAAATCCATTGCCCATTTCACTTCCATCACATTTCTGCAACCATGGCTGGGAGTCAAAAAGATGTTTTGTGCATAGCAGTACAGCATAATATCAGATAACTGCAGTGGATAAAGCAATAAGCCTCTCGCTTTTGAAGATTAAACAAATGGGCACCACTCAAAAATATCTAACACCAGTGAGGAACATTTAGTTCAAAGAAAGAAGAAATACCTGTTCAAGCAGCTGGGCAGCAACTTTTCCTTGGCCGATCATCAGGTAGGAAACTGCCATTTGATTCTTGATTCCAACATCCTCAGGGAACTTGCTGCTCATTTCCGCCTGCAGTTTTATAGCTTTGGTAAAAAATCCTGCAATGTGTGCACAAAGCTTGCTTGCACAAAAACACAGTCTCACCCAATGCAACACTAATATCACATTTTGCCTTCTTACTATATAAAACAGCTACAAAATAATGCCAGAATAACACAAACATGCAAGAAATTATCAAATAACCTCTTTAAATGTGGTCTGGCCAAACTCCGTGTCAAATGATGTTCGGTTTCCTAACTTCTTCACAATGCTTCCTCCCCAATTTATAAAATTACAAGCCTTGGTCACACGATTCTCTCCATGGTAATTTAAAATGCTGCCCACTACTGCGCTTCGCTCATCGTTCTGCTTAACATAGACTGCCCACCCATTGAAACTTTCAATAGACTGTCCACCTACTTATCCCATTGAAATGTGAACCTGAGAAACAAACAAAGATAGCAGTTGTTCCATGTACAAATACAACTGATGAATGAAGCTTCTTAGAGATCACATGCAAAAGACTATGCGCCTGATATCACTGCTGGCTGTCATGAACGCGGTATCCCGGGGAGCAAGTGGCGACAGCATCTGCTGCACTCAGTGGCAAGAAGCAAATGAGTGTGCGGGGCGCGTGGCGCCAGCCATCTGCCGCCGCGCCTGCGCTTCGATAGTGACGAGACATGTATTACAGTGAACTCCCTACCAGCTGTTCGTGTCTTTTGCCACAAAGTTGCCTCAGAGGGAGTCTGAACAGGTGCTCCTCAACGATAGTCCACTACAGTGTGAGAACACAAGCGTCCTGAATTCTATTCCTATGAGTGAATCTAATATGCTGGAGGAGACAGATGTGCATCATAGCTGCCAGAAATGAATGTGGGTACGTGTCAATAAGAGGCTGTTAAAAATTTTGAAATTATTAGAGTATTATCTCGGGCCATAACAATTTTTTGATTAAATAAGAAGAAAGCACTGAGGATACGGCTTGTGATTTAAGAGCCAAGTAAGTCCGAAAATGCAATCACATATTTATTACAATAGTATCAAGCTGTGCTTGTAAGCTAAAATATAGCTATTAAAAATGAATGATGTATTTGTCTCTAGCTAACTTTTAGTCTGGTCTTCTCTGCAGCCTTTTCATTTATTTCTTGTGTTCTATTAGTAGTTCCAGTAAAGTAACTAACTATGCCATAGCCACCTTGGCCTTCTTTATCAGCCCCAGTTGCTCCTCTGTCCCGGTTGTAATAATAATAATAATAATAATAATAATAATAATAATAATAATAATAATAATAATAATAATAATAATAATAATAATAATAATCCTGACAACCCCCACTACAGGACAGAGGCCTCTCCCATGTTCCGCCAGTCAACTCGGTCCTGTGCTTTCTGCTGCCACTTCATACGCGCAAAATTCCTAATCTCATCTGTCCACCTAACTTTCTGTCACACCCTCACCTTCTTGCCTTCTCTTAGAATCCAGTCTGTGACCCTTAAAGAGAAGCTGAAGGAATGTTAGAATTCAATAAAAACTTCTTGTTTAGGAAGGACTGACACTATTGTTGTTGTCATAATTGTTTTCACGGTTGTAGCAGCAGGAGCTTTAGAACAGGCGAAATAAAAACTTGTCGTGCTCTGCCCCTGCGAGGGCGTTGAAAGCGTGGGTGTGGAAACATACGTCATTTTCGTTTCCACTGGCCCGGAGCAAGTGTTCTTCTTTATTTTCAACCACTGCCTCCGTGACTAACCCATGATGTGCCATTTCCAGAACTAATCAAAGAGGCCACACTTCAGCAGTACTGCTATTGCAGATGACGCGTCATATCGAGAATGACGTCGCTGTGTTCGCTCGGCATCTCAAGAAGCTGGGCGGCCACAGCCACTGTTTTTTCACCAAAAAGTGCTATTGGCGTTCACTTTTGAAAACTTTCACATCACTTTTGTAATTCAGCAGAGATCAAACTGCCCTTACACGCTCCTAAGTTATTTTTTAGGAAAGTGCTTTAGCTACCCTCAATGACCAGTGGCAGAATAGCCACTGATACGTGCCTGGCCTACGTCCATATTTCCTTATGTTGTGATGATCATATCCAAAAGAAAACAAGCCAATGGATGGAAAAATGGTAATTAAGTGCTGCTCACAAGAGCTGACCTTCAGCCACTGGCTTTCACAGGTAAATGCAGAAAGTATACAGGCCTTGAAATGGAACATTAAGATTCCCTGATTGCAACTGTTGTCGAAAGCCTGTATGGCCACAACCCCGCACTTTCAAAAATGATGAGCTAGAATGCAATGCAGGCTTGACCCTCCCCCCGCCTCCTTCACTGCACACACGCAAACACCCGCAGCTGTTTGTGCAAGAGCATCTGGAAACCTTAAATGATTCATTGTACTTTCTCCATTTCTTAGTCGATTCGAGAGGTGAAATAAGTGGCTTTAATGCATGCAAGCAGGGCTCATTCAACACGAGCACTCACCTCGGAAGCGCATCCGATCCACAGCCTTGTTTCCCGCTCTGAGGTACCATTCCTTGCTTGGCAACTTCATCACGTCCAAGTACGCCTGGATGCTCTGTTCCAGGATTGAATTGCTCTTCCTCCGCTCGGCCATCTTCTCCAGGGCCAGTGCTTTGCCATAGCTGGCTATGGGGTTTCGTGGGTCGGTTTGGAGAAGCTGCTTAAACTTCTCAAGGGCCTTTTCAGGGGACTGAAAGGTGCGACTTGACTTAAACACATCTACCGTCCCCAGTGCAGCTCCCATAATAAGTAGGCTTGTGTGAATAGTAAATTTTCAGTTAAAAGTGAATTCGATATATAAATAGTGATGTGGTTTAATGATATTGAATCAAAATCGCAGGGTATATCGCATATTAAATACTGAAAAATTGGCACATTTATCATCACCCAATTAATACGCTCTACATTTTTTAAACTAGAAATATTACGTGCTAATGTCATTCTATATGGTTCAAAGAAAATGGAAGCAACTTTCAATAGTAACAGAATTCGACTTTCGGAGGAATGCAAGTGATAACTTGTAAAATGCAGTTAGGTTTAATATTTACTGTACTCGGAGCATGTAAGCCGGTATAAGAAGCTCTTAAACTTAAAATATGAATCGATGTGAGGGCGATACATTCATTTAATTTTGAAGAGGGTCTTTACAACAAAGCGGATTTCTCCTGCATTACGGTAGTCCAGCACCTTTCCACTGCCGTGACACCAGCTTTACAGGAAGTTGCATTTGAAATAATGGAGACCTATTCGTTCATTTCAAATGCTTTGAAATTTCTAATATTTCAAATTTTAATTGAAGCAAATTAAAATACTCTAATATCACTTTGAATATTCAAAGCCCTCAAATATTCACGCAAGCCTACTTATAAAGGAAAACTAAAAACCGTGGTTATGGGTCAGGCATTAAACATTCCTTGCAAACACACATGTTCATATCTGATCAGTCAAGTCAGAAATGCAGTTAGGTGAAAACAAACAATTATAGGAGTTATTTCATCACACTACTGTAGTACTGCACAAATTTGTCAGTATATTCATAATACAACACCCTGAAACATGGAAATAGCAGGCTACGCAAAAATCTGGACATCGTGTAGTGTTCCAGCAAAAGCTTTCATAGAGAAAAGATGAGTGTGAAGCATTTTTCAATGGTGTTATTTCCTAGGAATCTTAAAATGAATGCATTCAACTTTTTATGGGAATGAACCATTTTTGACAGATTAAGATCGATGAAATTGGTATTATCAGTAGAAGTTGCAGTACAAACGCAAGTCTGGTAATCGAAACTTTAACACTGTCGAAGAAGGCAGGCCAGTGCATTATTGCTTCATCTTACAGCCCTTATAAACACTGCTGGCATGTCTTGTGCAAGTGCCCTGTGTGCCATGTTTTTGATTCGCAGCCTTTTTGAGTGAGCGTGAGCTGGTGCACATTGAAATTTGTTACGCTGGCTACCTACAGTGCAAAGTGTTTCGAGAACACTGCCCCATGAATGAGTTCTATACTAACATTTGCTAGCAACCTTCTTCACTGAGTGCAACATTTGGTGCACTGTTGGCTTTCCCACTTATCATAAAACTTTGAGGGCTCAGAAAGCACAAGGACACAGAAAGAAACACACAGAAGCAAGTGCTCAACTACCAACGTTTCTCTTTCTCGTTTTTCGTGCTGCTTCGCATCAGTGAAGCCTTACCAACAAGATTGAACCCATAAAGTTTTATAGGGGAAAATATTGGGGGAACTTTAAGCTACAACTTTAAGAGTTCAATGTGATAATGGTATCCTGACTCTTGTGCATACTTTAAACACTTTGTGCATACTTCTTATTGTATGATGCTACCCAAGAAGTTCAAATTGTGGATTACTACTATGTGATCTACAAAACTGAAAGTAGCTTGTGTCACTGAAGCTTTCTTTCGCATATGGCTGCATTCTGTGTAATGGGCGGCATGCTTGAAACCATGAGCAATTGCTATGCACTCACTACTTGGTCTTAAGGGAATACGTGCAGTAACATGCGTTCTTAGTCGTAATGATAACCACATGTCCTCTGACATCTGATGGCAATGTAGGCTTGTGCCACGCATTACTATGATATTACATGTTGTATTGTGAAGCCTGTATACAGGGTGCGAATATTCATAAGCCATGAATGTTATTTTCACTGCATTTGCGAACAGAGTAAGTTCTTTTCACAGTATTTATAAGAAGACACGTGGCTGTGCGATAAAACGCCACACAAATGTCCAGAGTTCGATCCTGACTCGGACCCAGAAATGATCTATTCTGTTTGCATCTTTCTCGATTTTTTTGGTTACGCACAAGATGATTTTCCGCTCACAACCAACGCCGATGCCGGAACTTCCGTGAAACAAGCTCTTTCTGTCGCGTAATAAGGAAGCTTCGCCCTATAGGGGTACGAAACCTGTATGTATGAAGTGCAAAGCTGGACAGCCCTCTTTGATTTTTCCTTTCCCTCTTTCTTCCTTGTTCTTTTTATTTCTATTCTTGTTTTTTCCTTTCTTGCTTGCTCCCTCCTTCAATATAGCTTTTTGCTTAGCTTTTTGCTTATAGCTTTTTTCTTGCTTACTCCCTCCTTGATATAGCTTTTTTGCACGCTAAAAAAGCTATATCATGAACAAAGTGTTTTGTCCATTCTCCATTCTCGTTGCACTTTTCCTGTTCTGAAGATTATTGTTAAAAGTTGCAGCATGAATGCACATCTAGTAATGGAAGGTTTTTACAAACCAAAGTGACCCATCTATCAGTCCGTTGTGGGACAGCATGCGTGCCCGTGCTTCCTCTTTCTTGACAGAAGTGCCACCACGAGGACAACCTGGTCCCTCAGAAAGAAGCACTGAAGCCTTTTTCGGAGATCCTTTCAGTCTGCGGCCAACCCCTGCTATCCCCCCCCCTCCCCCTTTTCCAGCTCAAGGGACAGGTTACTCTTCCTTGGCGAGGGAGTCAACCCTCGTTGGAAAGAGGGAAACTAGAGGTGGGAACAAAACTGAGGAGACAAGCTCTCCGGTACCGGCCAGCGGTAACGATGTTTCCCCTCTGAGCTCCTGTGAGCCACGCCCATTGACTATAGAAGTAAGTCCTACACTTTGTTCTCTTCATAGAGCAAACCATTCCTCTAAGCGACATGTATGCATTATTGTTAACATAGCAACAAAGTGTTGTTTGTTAATATAGCCTGTTGCCTTATTCTCCCGAAACCGTCCTAGCTGCAGTGCCTGGAGCTACGGGAAGGGGCCGTTGATACATGCACGATGTGACTGTGTGCGGCTGGAATCTGAGCTAGGCTTCTGCGCCAGCCATGCATAGAAAGGACTTTTTCACCATGTAACAGAAACAATGTTCTTCTTGTACGTGTAATTACTGCTTTCATATCTTGTTTTTGTGCATTTGCTTTTTGTTCCTCATATTCTGTAAACTTAGCAGCCTTTTTCAGTGAATAAACAGCGTGAGTTTAGCAATACAGCTCTGTTCAATCTCACAAGGTAAATTGGTGTTCGTACTCTTCTGCAAATGCATCAAATTTTTTTGTGTTACCTATAGTCGGAAGCGGGTAATCGAAAGGAAGATGGTAGGTGTAACTTTAAGAGACAAGAAGAGAGAAGAGTAGATCAGGGAACAAACAGGGGATAAGGATATCATAGTTGAAATCAAGAAGAAGAAATGAACATGGGCCGAGCATGTAGCGCGTAGAAAGGATAACCGCTGGTCATTAAGGGTAACTAACAGGATTACCAGAGAAGGCAAGCGGGTTAGGGGAAGACAGAAGGTTAGGTGGGCAGATGAAGTTTGCGGGTATAAAATGGCAGCAGCAAGCGCAGGACTGAGTGACTAGCAGAACATGGTAGAGGCCTTTGTCCTGCAGTGGACGTACTTGACTCAAGGCTGCTGATGATGATGATAGTAAGAAGTGCAGCCAATTGGTTCATACTCAGTCAGCCATATACTGTGCAACCACAAAGAATGTGGTTGTCCAGCATCTTATTGGTTGTTTTCTTTATGGCAATTAGTGCCTATGGCTCTGGTTATGAAAAATAAAATTACCTAGTAATTTGCACTTAAATTCCAAATGATGGGCATATACTGCATGGGTGAATAATGAAAATCTATTTTTCCATTGTCTATAAAACAGACAACACAAGGCTGCTGCAACTTACCATTAATAAAAACAGGCCTCTCAGCATGCATGATTCATTCAACTAAATCATAGTGTTAAATGCACCTAAATTCCTACCTTCTTTACAGCATATGAATCGAAATATGGTAAATTAATTATTCATGAACAAAAAGCAAAGGAACTGGAAGCTAATAACTTAAGTAGAGTTAAATTGCAGTAATGACAGTATCATTCACACTTCCCATTTAATGATGTACACTAACATATCCACTTTCTCTTATAAAGGGCCTACGAAAACACACTCAAATACAAATTAGTCCTTTTATCAAGAATTAAGGGCCCGGCATCATTACATGCAAGTCCGTCGCTTTATGTGACAAAGCATTCAGATGCAAAAACAAGCCACGTTAGTCTTAATAGCACCAGCCCTTGACAAGATTGTGATTGAGCCAAAAATGGTATAACTTAACTATTTAACTTATTTCCAAATAAAAATTGCCTCACACTAATCTTTTTCTTTCCTACAAAATGAGGCAACCACCGTCCCTACAAGTCCCAGAATATATCATCCATTTCCTGAAAAGAAAACATTAGCCTTCAGTCAACTGAACTACATGACATGCGGTAAATATACTCAAACCTCGTTAAGAAGAACATGCATATAAGAAAATATCAGTAATAACAAAATAAATAAAAATAGTCTTACAATGAATACAGTGTTAGGAATGACCTTTGTAATGAAGTTTAGGTAATAACGAACTTATTTTCTTGTAAGATGCAACTTTGTTATAATGATGTCTGAGTGTATATGTCCTTTTTCTACATACATACCGTGGTACAGCTTAGTAAAGGTATTTCAACTAATGCAGCTCTACTAAAGCTGAAATGAATAAAAGATGTCCTTACAGAGCATGGTCAATTCCCCATATCTTGGTCGTCATCATTATCACCATCAATGCTAGCCTATTTTTCTGCAAGACAAAAGCCCCTCCCAATGATGTCTGACACACGCTGCCCTATGTGAGCTGATACCATTTTATGCCTCCCAATCTCTCATTTTTTAAACAACCCACATAATTCTCAGCTGCCATCATTCACACTTCTAGGTATCCATTTTGACCATCTGTCATAACAACCAGGGGGGATGGAGATATTCACCTCCTCCCTCACTCTAGCCGCAATATATTAATTTTATATGTGTGCATATGGACAAACGTACATAAGGATGGTTGACCTTCTTTGCCCTCCTCTCTTTTGGTGTTCATGTGAAAATATGAACACCCAAATCTATGGGTATGTATGATTTCCTAAATATGTGTCACAGTTTGAAATGATTACAGTTTTACCATTCGGCTGTTGAAACCACAGGCAAACCCACCTGTTCAACTAGCTCTTCAGATTCCCTGAGCTCTTTCTCAACAACGGCATCATTACTTGTCAGTTCTTCAAGCGGATCTGGCGTCAAAGCCATTGTTTCCAGTGAAGATGTAGCCATCTCCGACACTGGAGATGCAGAAGCCTCTGTAGGAATACATGAAAATCATTCAAGTATCCGGGGCGTCCAATGCCACCCCTTCTCACCCCAATTTTTTTCTTTTGACTGCCCCTGCATGTATTAAATGCAACACACATATACAGTGGCACTCAATACGAGCTGTGGTTGAAGGCACCCAAAGCCTATACTGTAACATCAGCAAACATGAAAATGGTTTGGAAGTACCAGTAGTCGAAAAAGTGTTTACATAACCAGTTGTTTTCTGTGTCACCATAGGCAGCATTTTCACCATGGATAGCATGTTGCAACTCGTATTGGGCATGACTGTATATTCATGCAGATTCAAGTGGATTTTATGCACATACGCATTCATGCTGCACTCTGGTATTTTATTCTAGTGAGCAAACTTGTATTAACCCTAATGGGATGTGTGGCCAGCTTCGAATTTACTATCCAAGAGTTTTGTCCCATGAATTCAGTTAATCAGATCTTGCTGGAAGTAATGTTCCCAAAGCTCACACCTTAAAGACCAACTCCAGCGACTTTTTGACCATCCTTTTAGGTTCCTAAGACACTCTTGTCACGCGCCCGATAGCTGAAATGCTCAAGAAATTCAAAAATAATTTTTAGTTAGCGAAAAAGCATAATATCGAAATCTAAACCCATTTGAGTGTGCTTCTATTTGTGACAATCTTTTGCCCAAACCTTCCTGATCGTTCATAATTCCCGCCAGGTGGCATTAGCTGTCCACGCCGTCCAAGTTTTTGCCTGCGGCGATCAGCTATAACACTTACGCTGTTACGGTGAATATATGACGCATCATATGTGGCCCACAACGCAACACCACTTGCCACCTATCGCATACCCAGCAAAATGGAAAAGAAAATTACACGCTCAACCAAGGAAGCGCCGGCCAAACCTAATCAATCCATAGCAGACAAGCAGACGCTGCAGTTTCACATCAGTTCCTTCCCTTCTGCAATTGATTTGATTGATATGTGGGCTTCAACACCCAAAGACCACCATATGATTATGCGAGACACTGTGATGGAGGGCTCCCGAAGTTTCAACCACCTGGGTTGTCGCTTCCGCAAGGCAAAAATCCACGTCACATACACAATGTTGCCACTAATTTTGGCAAGCGTGGTGACTTTTGGAGGAAAGCTATAAAATTTGTTTGAAGAGAATATGCGAAACTCTCGAGCCTGCAATTTGACACGAAAGGTGCAAACACACAGATGAAAATACCCAGAGAATTTTGTTGAGATTTATTAACCCCGAAAAATTGCCAAAGTTGGCTTTTGTAGTATACACGTATCCCAAAGGAGTACGATCCCTAGCATGGGTCCGGTTTTAGTGAAGCGCAGGGCACACGTTAACCGTCGCCGTGGCGAGAACATGGTACTGCTCAATGTCAGAGCTTTTTAATGCCTGTGGCAACACCAAAAACACAGTACAGAGCCCGTTGCAGAAGGGGCGGCGGGAAAGCGAATGGGCTTATCCACCCCACAGGTGAGAAGTACTACACGGGGTGCCGCGAGCACGTCTCCGTAGGTGAAAGTGAATTACGGGGACACTGGGACAAACAGGGCCCGGTCGCTCGAGTGAGGGCAAAACTCCGCTCGCGTTCGCTTCGAGAGGAACAGGTTGGGGTAGTGTTCGAGCTCATATTGCTCACGATAGTACGTGCACTTGTGCTCGGGTGCTCAATGCCGGTCATCCATCCCTCGACAGTTGTCGGTCTTCACACTACAGCGCGGGTGGCAGCGCTGTTGGGCAGAAAGGAATGCTCATCAACAGCTGCCTCGGTGGTGTTCGGCTTGGTGAGAGCACTGCTGTTTTTATTTTATCTGGAGCACTAGCAGAGGTAGACGCAAATCGAAACTCGTAGGTGAAAGTGATTTATGGGGACACTGGGATGAACAGGGCCTGGTCACTCGAGCGAGGGCAAAACTCCGCTCGCGTTAGCTTCAAAAGGAACAGGTTGGGGTAGTGGGACTACGCGCAAAGATACTGCACCACTCTTCAGCCTAGCGTTCGAAAGGAGCAACGAAAAAGGTGAGTGTTTGCAGCGGGCGCAAGGCGTCGTTATAGAGGTCTGACAAGCTCCAAACAATAGGAGCCGACGAACGCGAAACGAATGCGTGCTCACTCTAAGTTGTCCCGGAGAATTATGACTCACTCTGGATGCGCGCGCAAAACGTCCCGAGGGTACTTTGCACATGGCGCCACAGTCTACATCCGCTACCGGGTGAGAGGGGTTAATACTCACTCCCGCTCCCCCAGTGCGACAGACTGTGGAGGAGGGGAGAGTCATGTCAGGACATGAGAACGGCAGAAATAGGCGACAAAGTCAGTGCAATGACGGCGGGCTAGCCTCAATTCTCAACCTTTAAAGGGCCACTTGCAAGGTTTGACAATTTTGAGTTGACAAGAGCAATGCATTAATAAGCCGTTCACAATCACGGCTGCCAAAATTCGCAATGCTGTGTGCCGCAAAAATGGGTCAAATTTGAAGTTGAACGCTGCTTTCTCTTTTTTTAGTGAGCGCGCACCCAGAGAATGAGGGCGTGACAAAGACGTAGGAATTGCCCGATGTAGACAGCAGTGCTATAATGTCGGTTCTTTACCTAGACGACTGTGCTACGGTGGCACCAACAGTAGCACGTGAGAGGGCGAAAATTATTCCACACAACATGTATAATTGTGGAGATGCAAAAAGGGAATGTGCATGTCTTTTTCATTTTTTTTCCCTGTGAAGTGAAACAAGCTGTGGGGCTAACGTGCTAGCATTTTGCATTCGTTCGTGTCTCCGCAGTTAGGGCATCAAGCAGACGCCAGCCTTGGAAACCAGGTTAATGGTCCTGTGTGTTCAAGCACTCAATATGCTCATCTATTCTAGCGCATCTAAACCAGTGTCTCCAACCGAGCACGTACACAAGCATACATCTCGCAGAAATAGGCAGTAGATAACAAAATAACGCTGGTCAACAAAATGACGCTGCTTGCGTCCTCGGGGATCGGGCTTGCTCGGGAACGTCATGCGCACGTGACTGTTTCCTCGTATGTCGGAGAGGGTAGGGAAGATTTGGCTTGCAAGGGCTACGCAGGGCAAGTGACAAGGGTTTCGAGCTTGCCTTCATGCATTATCCTTTCGCCCCGCTTCAAAATGCCAGTTTTCTCAGCTCATAATGAACCAATTAAAAAAAATTTTGTGGCATAATTCTCTTCATCGTACACACAACTGCCAAAGCCTAAGATTTGCTATGGGGCCTGGTGGGCGGCCATTTAAAGAGTTTCAGAACTATATTTTTATAAGTAATCATTGAATGACTTCAGTATTAGAGTTTGTTGCCTCAAAATTGACTGCCACAATAGTTTTTCGAATGCATAAAAATTTTTGTGGCATAATTCTTTTCATCGGACACACAACAACTGCAGGCCGGCATGTCCCTACATCCCTAGCTTAAGCACACAGTAACCCTCCCGAGAGCTGTCCACGCTACCTACACGGTAATCCCATTTCCACAAAATGCTCACCCGCAACACAACAAAGGCAGACGCCTGGCCCCCGCTCGTGCCATCCTCGTATGTACTGTCGGGAATCACAACTCTGCCGTATTCGTTGATGCGGTGCAATACGGTGAATCTTCCACCTTTGCACTCGTCGGTAGCACATGCCGATGAAGCACTACGCTTGGTCGCCTCGGTTAGGCTAGCAATGAGCGCCATAGCCGAGCAGATTGCTATAGCTTTAGCGATGATCGACCCCTCACACACCGATGTCTTCACAGACTCTCGCGCCACCATTCGGGCTTACGAAACTGGCAACATCACTCAAGAAGCAGCCCGCATTTTACAAACACGCAAATACATCGGCTCGCACTACCTCTCTTGGTTCCCTGCCCACTTGGGCAAAGACATCCACCTACAGGAACCCAACTTCAACGAAACGGCTCGTGATCGAGCGTGAAAACTGCAGTGATAGAGTGCCTGTTTACTTTTTGGAGCATACTTTGGAGCAGGAGAAGTACTGCTTCGGAGCAGCCATGAACATTTTCGGGGCAGGAAAAAAATGCTAGTTTAGAGCAGCTATTGGTGTTTAAGGAGTAGATATTAAATTTGCCATACATTAATTGGAGTTCAGCGCATTGTTGAAACATCTTGTAAACATTATATTTCTTATGAAATATATTTGTCAGACAACAATCAATGTAAATATCACATCGCAAACAAAGGCAGGTCGTCAAAAATGTGCTGTGAAATAAGCAACAATCTAAAATACTACTATTTGTGGCAGAAATAAAATCAAACGGGAAAAATTGAGCTGATTTTAAAGGTAACCAGAGTCCCATATAACTGTGGCCAAATAAGCAGTAGACAATTGGTAATCAGATAAATTAAATACTGCTCATTTTCACAATTCACATGAGTAGCCTACATGTCTAGCTGAGGAAAAAAAAATGACCAAATGAGCTACATGCTTAATATGCCTGTTCTTGTAGCACAAGTGAGATCAGAGCCGATAATGCTGCACACTAGCAGCACTCTGAGATGATAGCATACAGATTCTCTTCAGTTTATTTAGGCCATATGAGTCGGTCAAACGGTAAAAGTTCATCATTCTCATTCTCTCAGTGTCAGTTCGGAGCAGGTATGGAGCAATTACTAACAAAAATTACTGTTTGGAACAGCATGGAGCAGCATTTCTCTTTTGGAGCAGTTTGGAGCAATTCGAGCAGTACTTCCATTACTGGAAGTGCTGACGATCAATCAACCGATCAATCAGCGCCGTGACAATCAATCAGCACTGTGACGATCAATCAGCGACTGATGATCAATCAGAACCGTGATGACAAATCAGCTGCCGTTGAGCTGGGCTACGACGAACAGTTTAATGACACTTTATTCTCCTTCCACGAAATTACCTCTCACTATCGAAACGACAGAAGCCAATATACTTTACCACATGCAGAGCTCGAACGCACACAAGAGCTAGCCTTTCGCATGCTACAAATGAGATCGTACCCATCATGGGGCTGACTAAGCCATTACAAATCTGACATAAATCCACAACGCCCAGACTGCACAAAAGTGTACTGCCCACTCACACACATGCTCTGGCAATGTCCAGCATTACCTCGGGAACCTCTCACCAGTGAGTCTGACTGGGAAGAGGCACTCGGGAGCCCCAAGCTCCAACATAAACTAAAGGCGGTTGAAAAGAACCAAGAACTGGCAGAACGCTACTACGTTCCCAACCCGACTTGGGCGTCACCTACAGTAGGGGCTGCTAGTATGTCTCTCGTGGACACCCTGGTGGCTAAAACTCTTCAGGACTTTATTATTTAATAAAGTTTTTGACTGACTGACTGATGCATCAAAAATTAGTGCAGCAACAGGAATTTGCCAGACGCCATATGCCATTTCTCTCTTCTCTCGTCCCAAGGCGCATGTCATGATCTGTGAAGTCAACCACAAGAGTTCATGAACCACGGGAGCGCATGCAAGACTGGCTGTCCATGCAACCTAGAAATGTGCTACCTACTCTATACTAAAGCATTGGCTCGTAAATGGGCCTTGTTATTCACTGGCATATTCATATATATTTTTTAACTGGCATGCAGCACATCATTAGTTGGTTGTTTCCACACCAAGCACTTATCTAAGTATGACAGTCATACCTCTACTTGGATAGCAGAATCAAAGTATCACACCACACCACAAATGATGTACTGTTGGGTTGATATCACTTGACGAAAAAGACTGCGACTGATACCAGTTATTCTGATAAGACTGCTGGCAAAACAGAAGCACGTAGCCACGGCTCCCGCATAGCACATCATCACAATAGGAAGTAAAAGGTGGAATGCATTTTTGCCGAGTGACAAAATACCCCGACCATCAATTAGGGAAGCGTTGTGTCTCCAGCATAGTGCTGTTGCTGATTGCCTTGACATAGCGGAAGTGTTGCTCTTGGCTAAGTGCCTGCGTGATCCACAAACGTTTGTGGTTGATTGAACATACATCATGAAATGCGATTGCTCTTTCCCATTGTGGTTTCAATGTGTGCTAGCGCTGCTGCTGTGTAATTTTAGCGCATTGCAGAGCATGGTGCCATCACACCGTAACACCCCATGGTAAGGAGTGAAAATCCAAATGCTGCTCCTGGTATATCTCAGCTCTCATCCGATAGCACTGATCAGTACGTCAGCCCAGTAAGACACACCAGCCTTTCTACAATTATTGAAGACCGTTTGTGAAACCCTGCACTGTGTGTGCCGTTTACTCCCCTCTCCCCAGGTGTAGGATAGCAAACTGGAAGCAGTCTAGTTTTATTCTTTCTTTGCTGCTTGATGACACACAAAGCCTCTGGACAAACAGAGGGCCCTCGAGAAAGTGACAACTTCGCACTTTGCTGGTAAAGTGGCACACGACCACAACAATATGCTCGTACAAAGAACTTTATGACCAAGCCCTATATGTGGTTCATTACCCCTTCAATCTATCTGGCACACGCTCACACTGTAACATAGTCACTGATGCTTATATTTCCGTATTATGACAAAATACAACTATGTTCAACGTGAAAGCCTGCTTAAAGAATTAACTCAGAACTGGTGAAAACACACTGAAAAGCGCCTTACAAGAGATGTCATTGAGATTTCTGAACAGAAAACTCTGCAATCATAGAGCTCCAATCAATCAATCAATCAATCAATCAATCAATCAATCAATCTTTATTTTTGCATAGTATGGTTACATCGTTAAGGATATGCTCTCTTTAAAAGTGAACTAAGTAGTACATAAGTGTGACAGCTTTGTTTCTGCTCCAGATAAAGATATAGGCTGTAGTTGACTGGAATTACTTTCAGAATAAACTCTGCTGATCATAACTTAGGTTTCGGTAATGTAAAGAAAAATATTTTTATTTGAGCACGCTGAAACTACCCCCCGATTTGAAATTTTTTCTGGTATATACTTTGTTCAGTGATGGAAGCAACATTTTAATTTTTGGAGCATATTCTGGAGCAGAAAAAAATGGAGCTTTGTAGCAGCCTTGGTTGTTTTTCGAGCAGAAAAAATGCTAGCCCGGAGCAGCTATTGGGGTTTTCAAAGCAGATTTTAAAGTATTCCAAACGAATCCTGGAGTTTATTGACTTATTTAAGCCTCTTATAAATTTTAAGCCTCTTATTAATATTTATTATTGAACATATTACACATACAATAATCACAGCAAATTGCAAGAAACATAATTAGGCAGATGAATAGTCTTTGAACACCAAGTAAGTGTTATCTCAATATTTTGCGAAAAAAAGCCAGCATTGAAATTTAAAAAAAATCGTTTAAGCTACATGAATTAACATTTAAAATACTTGCTCTTGTGACATAAGCAAGTTCAACACTAATAAAAGTGCTAAATGTTATCAGTTACATATCAAAGTCGTCGCAGCAGCAGCTAGTGTGACTAAGTCTCGCATGCGTTTCACAAAAGTTGTCTGCTTGTAAGGTACAAATATACAACTATATCAGATATACATAGAAAATGCTAGTATGTGTAGCATTACCACTATTCTAGTATAGAGCTACTATACAAGCTGTATTCTCGAGAACAGTACACAGCTTGTTTTTGTTTTCATTTAGGCTCGCTGGATGGTTGGTCCCATGGCTCAACTTCATTGTTCCCACAATGTTATTTCAGAGTAGGTTAGGAGAAGTTACTAGCAAAGATAGCACTTTGAAGCAGCATTTCTCTTTTGAAGCAGTTTGGAGCAATTGAAGCGACACTTCTATTACTAACTTTATTGAAGTTTTGCAATAAACAACCATCACCCTCATGCCCAGTTACATTTGCAAGAAGACAGTGATGGTGTGCTTCCAAAAGCAAATACAGGAATCAGTCACACTAGGGCCAAGAACAGAATAAGAATAGCACGATGAAGAGGAGGAAACCTTCATGAAATAGAAGAAGCTCATTACAATATCCAGCCAACAGAAAAGGAGAAAACATCTGCCTAGAACTTACCTGACACCTTTGTTGCCTCTAAAGAGAATGCTTGGGCACTTTCATCCTGCTTAATCTCTGTAGGCTCCTCCAACGACTGTAGTACTTCTGTGGAGCTGAGAACATCTGTTTCTGTTAGTGTTGAAGACACTATATCTGATGTCTGCCTAAAAGGCAACTCCACCTTCTCTGTGTTTGGGACAGACCCAAAACTCTGAGTTGGTGTATGGCCACTGTCAAGCTGAGCTGCATGCTGAGATGCATGCTGTGGCTCTGTTGGATCTGCGCAAAAACGGTCATAAGATGGCCATACTGATTTTGATTGTTATTTATAAAGCTTTTTTTTTATTTGCTGCAGCAGCACTTGAAAAGGTCACTTGGTATGTCAAAACACAAATAACTGGCAATTCTGTGCAGTATTTCTGCCCCAGCTGCCTACAATGTAAATGAATCCAGAAGTTTTAATGGAGTTGTGAGATTGACACAAGCAGGTCTTCCAGAGACTCTTATTGTGCAAGCTTGTGAAAAGATGTACATGTCTTTGAAGCCAGAAGTAAATTAATCTGGAGATGACGAATGGGCCATCAGAACAAGAAAATGTGAGGTCATACCATATGCTCGTAGCCTCAAAAAAGTTGCCAAAAAATACTGAGTATGTGTGGTCTTGTCAGCTCACAAGCCCACAGGAGTAGGATTGATAAACAAACATTTTGCTTGTTAACTATGTTTATAAACAAACCTTTAAGTCATGGCAGTGTTCACAGTCACTGTGATGGGAAGCACACTTTCAAGTTTACTGATCGCAAGGAGCCCGTAGTTACCAGACACTGTGTGAGGAAAGGTACATTGGTCGGAGCAGAAGATGCATAAATGATAGCCTCAGAGAATACAAACATGCATTACAAGTAGCAGGGCCATTTTTGTTTCCCGCCCATAGCCGGGACTACAGCTAGTCATTTTTTCAGGACATGAATCTTTCATGCTGCAGGAAACAGACAAGGTAAGTTATCAAGGTTCTCTATATCAAACAGAAAGGCGATGGGGGTGTCAGCTTCTTTCCAATCGCCTTCAATGATGTTGAACTTGCGTGACGCAATAACGCGCGTCTCCACATGAAACAAGACTGACGCTGCAAAAGTGACTTCTGCACAGAATAGTTAGCACTAAGTCAAGAAAACTTCAGAGCTGCTGTCTCTTCTTGTTATCATTATTTTTTTAAGGTGGCATTAGCGTTGTCTTTCAGGAGATTTATAGCTGTGCCCGTATAATTGGGAGGGTCGCTCAAAATTCACAAGTCTGCCGGACAAATCAAACGTTGGCAGGTATGCAAACACCTTCCTCAGAATGCCTAACATTTAGCTCATATCGCTCACGAGTGTACACAAAGCAAAAAAGAATAAAAGACAAGCTACAAACTCTTTGACATTAAGAACATAACACGAAATTACCAGATACACAAGTCAAGTGATGGCATTCAAATTATTTTTCTAAACAAAGAAATACATGCATGAATACCTGTATTCATGGCTCCTAAGTTGATGCTTTGCTCTTTACTTTGGACACTAGGTTCTATCTCATTAGATCCCTCCTATGAACAAAGAAGCAAATTGAGATTAGAATGACACAAGGAAAATGCTGTTGAATATGAAATATGAAGCGCCAAGACAAAGAGAAATACACTTGGTGGCGAAAAATAATTGAGGTATGTGGGATCCAAGCTTGTTCTACATGCAGTAGAAGCAAAGACTTCTTACCACATCGGTAGCATAATGCTGACTTTCAACATCCACTTTCTCTTGGGCAACTATGAAGTCTTCGTTTGCTTCAAGCCCAGCTTCATTAGAAAATGTACTAAAAGCTGAAAATGAGGAAAAAAACAAATAACATGCACAAAATGCTGCATACTTTTTACAAGTATCAGGTCTATAGTAAACCAATTTGTTAAAAATATTACAAACAAAGCAATACTATTTGCTTAGCTCACCTTTATGTACTGTAATAATAATGCCTTTACAGAACTAATTTTTTACTTTGGGTTTTCCTACTACTTTGACACAGTGATATGTTAAGTCTTTGTTATGCATAATCCCTTAGGTGAAACTCTTAATGTCCGAATGTGGTCCCGACAGCTGCTGCGACCGTTTCCAAGGGAAATCTGTCGGAGCTACAATGCATGGTGCTTCAGCCAGCTTGGGAATGATGGGCATGAATCTGTATAATTTGCGTACTTTCAGATCCGTGCCACCTGCAGTCACTTTCTCACGAGAAGAACTTCTGCAGACATTTACCATCTTAGCCATTTAGTCTCATCAATTCAAATCGTGTCACAAAGTACACAACACTCCATTCTTCCATCCAAAACAACAATAGGCAAAATGCAAATGAACTTCTTCCTGCGACCGCAGCACTAGAACGCATCGCTTAATGAACGAAAAGAGCAAAGTGGGGCAGGTGCAATAAACATTAGCCATGAAGTCGCGCTCTTTGACAAGAAGCAAGAGTGTCTAGCTGTCATCCAAAAGTTTCCATGCCCTTCATGCAATGAATCACAAAGCATCTTTCCGTGTCGTTTTAATCTCCAGTGCTGTTCTTTGCAGCCTTAATGTTCAGTGTCAACGAATCTGGGCAGATAATCGAATGCTAGATAGCACCTCCTGGCCAGCACGCAGCCCCCATAAACAAAGCCACAGCGGCGTTCGAAGCCACAAATGTCATGATTAGGCGAATCCATGTTCTCATGCTGACTGAAGTTCCCTTTAGTAAATATCTTTGTAAACTCTGTCTGGGACATCATGACGTTTGTAGCAGTACGTTAGACTACCATATAAAATTTTTCTTTCAGCTCCTCAGGATTGCCAGCAGAAACAATTGATTGATTGATTTGGGGGGTTTAACGTCCGAAAATTACCATATGATTATGAGAGACGCCGTAGTGGAGGGCTCCGGAAACTTTGACCACCTGGGCTTCTTTAAGCCAGCAGAAACAAATAAGGAGCACTCCATGCAGTGTGTAGTTTTAAAAGCAGCAAAAGGCCGAATAATCTGGGGCGACTTTTGCAGCATCAAAAGCATACAAAAGGAGGCTCACACGAAGAACTTTGCAGGGCCAGAATGACAGCTCCCACCATGACGGCCAAGACGATGAAAACTACCAAAAACGTAATTCTTGCAGTTGTGCTCGGTTCAGCAACCGACGCGTCATCTTCTTGCTCGGTATCCGAATGCTTTTGAGGTTTGTGCTTTGCCTTGTAACCTTCCTCAGCCGTTCCTGTAACTAGAGGGTGGAAACATGACGAGAAAATAAAAAAGAAAAGAATATAAACAGTAAAAAGTTTTTGTTTAAAGTATTAGTTAATTTTACTAGTTGAAGGAACGCGGTAGCTCATCATATTTACGCAGTAACAAGTCACACGATCAATTTTTTTTTATTTCACAACTTTCTTTGAAGAGCGGCAGTAAACAGCGGCATTAAACACGACCTTGTTGGGACAGCAACAAGCCCGTCCCGACCACACTTTGAAAAATCTGCACCAAGTTACACACACGCCTGAAAGTTCTTCAACAATTGCGCTGTACGCGAGAAGGCATTCGACGCTGAAAATAGCAAGGTTAGTTAAAAATACCTTTCTCCAACGCTCCTTTGCGCTTCTTGCGGGAGCGAACTTCGCGGTCCGACATATCGGCGCGAACGGTGCTACTGTGCACACGCAGCGTTTGCTTCACAAGTACGACGCGACTTTTAAACAAACTGGTCAGGACACCGGCATCGCAATGACTGAGGTGCACTCGTACAGGGAAGAGTTACTGTCGTCCTCCCGGGTGGATCCACGCACGGGACGGTCGGAAACCGTAAACGGACTACCGTTACTACCAGTATAGTGCCCAGAATATACAGTTGCGATACTGCGTTCCAAAACCCGGACACGCTGTTGGCCCAAATCTCTGGGAGCTAGCTGACTGCCGCGTCACCTGAGAGCGAGACCACAAAACACAAGTAATGCGTTTAATAATAAGTCAACTAGCGGTCAAAATCAAAAGATGGCGCGACAATCTGTTCACTTTAGAAAAAAGGGGTTAATGATGTTATAGCGGTATAATACACGATAATGTTGTGTTCAAATTTTGATATATGGGTTGTTTCCCAGCTTCCAATTTATATGGCAATTTTGGACGCTGGAACCCGGGGCGTTACTCATGCACTCGTGCCGTACGTTCGAATGAGAACACACGTGCGGTGACGCATGTTCAGGGCAGCCATGAAATGAGTGCACCAAGGAGGATTAAAAAAATTGCTGGAGTGGAAACAATTGCGCAGAAGTGAAGCCGTTCCTCTGGCAGGATGGCGGCCATCTTACTAAGGGCAAAATAAAGTATATCACCGTTCAGTGATTAAAAACGAAGCGTTTCCCTCGCACGCCCAACGAGTTTAATATGGGAACTTTTTCGGGTCACATAGTGCTCCAAGTGCGTTTTACAGTTTGTAGTTTTCCTTAGTGAGCCTGTAATTGGAGGCAAAGTTCTTTGAAGATTCAGTTATCCATACTCGTTTCTGCGTGTTATTTCGTCGGGAACAACTATCTTTTAATATAGAACTAACGTAGCATTTACATAAAATATCAAAGCAACTTGATCTTTAAGTGGGCACTATCAGAAAAGAACATGTTTCCGCCATCCTGGCCATGGCAAAAGGTGGCTTCACTTCTGCTGGCAAAGCATTGCGGGAGCTTCCACTCCAGCAATTTTTCTTTAATCCTCCTTGGAGTGCACGCACCGCGAAGGTTGACAGTAATGCGTGGTGCAATCCCAGGTCCGTTCGATTCACCTGCACCAATGGAAACCGGTTCATGGCTGTGCTAGAAGCGTTACTAGACTAACCTAGTTTAGTAACGTGTGCGTACATTACTAGACTAAGTTAGTCTAGTAACGTTGGTGCATGCGGCATATGACATGTTCGACTGTACTGGTACCGTGACGGTGGAAAAGAAGTTACGTCAAACACCGCCCGAGTTTCACGCCTCGCTACGGGCCAGCCGTAGCGAGGCGTGAATGTTCTGTGTTATGTTCTTGAAATTGTCTTGAATCCGATGTGTTCTTTCTCTCCAGGGAGACATCTTGAATTTGTGAACGCTTCACTTGGGTCTCTTGCAAGTGGCTTTCCTTGAGCTGCGAGCGGTCTTTCGATGACTGTGGTTGTCCATGTCGCATAGCATGTCACTTAACCTGGTTGATTTTCTTGTGCTGGTCTTGCTGGTGCTGCGAAAAGTGCCGAGGTGGCAGCCCTTCTGGAAAAAGGCAATGTTTTTCTTGGAAACTTGACGTAGTGCTCACTTGGTAGCTGTTGCAATGCTTTTCCTGCAGAGAAGTTAGCAGAACAGACTTGACTGGAGGAATATCACAGGCACCTGCGACACCGTTCATTACGAAGGCTTCTGGCACCCGGCACACTATGAGAGTTGGTGCTTCCGAGACTTCTGTGTTTGGATTTTCAGGTGGCTGCGCACTGGACGGTGACACCGCAGCAGGCGTGGTTTGGTCAGACTTCAGTTCTAAATGCCCGTCTTTCCGTGCAACCAACAAGTTGAGCTGTTCTGACGAATGAATCTGGATAGAAGCCGCAGGGCATGGCTGAGTATCCTCTGAGTTACGCAGCTTTATCCCGACCGTAGTGGGCGTGAGGTGAGCGTTGTGAGCGACGAAAGAGCCAAGCGATTGAAAACCAGAATTTTCACTCTTCGAGTCGTCATGGCGTTGTTCGGTATTTTCCCCATGCGTCAGCTGGTCTACCATGAAGAAGACGCCCTTATGACATGAATAGTGACCATTATGAGCCTTTAAAAAACTGCGTCGTAGAAAACCAGGTGGTGGACTATGCATGCGAGACGAAATATGAAGGGCATTAGTAGGGTGAGCGACGTCTCGTGTCATATGTTGGTGCGACGACTTTGGAAAAGCCGACTTTCGTGCAGAAGGGAGGCGCGCTCGATGTTTGAGTTTTTTCCGAAATACGCATGGTCGCCTGTCAGTGAACTCATGTTCCACTTTGTATTGTGGCAGTGGTAGATTCATGCTGGGCGTTCTTAAGCTTGAAGACTGCTTGTAAAATGGACAACTGAGTGTGACTGCCTGTTGATGGTTGGTTATAAGCGAGTCTTCTTCGTGGTCGTCATCGTATTCTTGAAATCGGATGGTCATTTCTTCTTTCATCTTTTTCCATGACTCGATATTTTGAAATATGCGGGTGAGGTAGAATGTGAAAGCCTCACAGGAGACGAAGTCGGTAAAGTTGATGATCAGCTCCCGTTCCGACCACGATGCAGCGGTAGCGTGGAGCTCGAACAGGTAGAACCAGTCCTGCACGGGTCCATCGTCCGCTGCTCCGGTGTACTTGGGGTGTCAAGGTCGGCCAATAGTTCTGTCATAGTGCTGGTCGTTGTCCTTCTAGGTGATGATTCGGTAGTCGATGTATGGTCACGGTGTCTTGTGGGGAACTGTGTCGATGATGATTGACTGAGGAAGGAAAAGGCAGGTCGCCATTTTGTCGACCCGTGTGACGCTATGATGAATGGGTGACGTGGCCTGGCTCAAACGCCATGTTTATTCGAAAGCACTTTTTCCTCATCTACTTCTATTACCATGACTTCATACGTCACACGCTTTCCTTGTGTATATATATATATATATATATATATTATGGCGTTTATTAGCCGGCACACAGCGAGTCTACACAATGGCGACAGTAACGGCCAAAACACGGGGTCTCCGCGCGAGCGGCGTTCTCTTTGGGCAGACCCACTAGAAAGCACACAAGAGTTCGACCCACTTCAGTGTTCGGCGGCTTCTGTACAATTACCCCGGGGTCGAAGAGGGAGCCGCCTGGCGACCTAACAGCTTGTCACTACGAGCGGGTCATAGTAAGCCTTCAGACGCTCCACGTTGACTATGTCGCGCCCGCGGCGGCGCATGTCCGAAGATTGTTCAATTGGCTCGATAAGATAGTTGACCGGAGATGTGCGCTCGATCACACGGTAGGGACCTTCATATTTCGGGAGTAGTTTGGAAGAAAGGCCAGCTACAGAGGTCGGGATTGAGAGCCATACAAGGGAACCAGGAAGGAAGGTGGGCTCAGAAGTGGCGGAGCCATCACGAATATTCTTCTGCCGCTCTTGCTCATGCGCCGTAAAAGTCTTGGCAAGCTCGCGACACTCTTCAGCAAGCCTGGCGGTCTCGGAAATAGGTGTACACTCAGATGGATCCGGCGTGTACGGGAGTATCGTGTCGATGGTGTGTGACGGGTGCCTTCCGTACAGCAAAAAGAAAGGTGAAAAACCAGTCGTGCTCTGAGGGGCGGTGTTGTAGGCGTAAGTGACGAAGGGCAGTATGGTATCCCAATTCGTGTGGTTGGCGGCGACGTACATCGACAGCATGTCGCCGAGGGTGCGGTTAAAGCGTTCGGTCAGACCATTCGTCTGCGGGTGGTAAGCAGTAGTTTTGCGATGGACAGAATGGCATTCAGTGAGAATGGCATCGACGACTTCTGACAAGAAGACACGGCCTCGATCGCTGAGAAGCTCCTGGGGTGGACCGTGGCGCAATATAAATCGATGTAGTAGGAAGGACGCAACATCACGCGCAGTAGCCGCAGGGAGAGCGGCGGTTTCGGCGTATCGCGTTAAATGATCTACGGCGACGATGGCCCAGCGGTTGCCAGTGGACGTCAGAGGAAGTGGTCCGTACAAATCAATACCTATGCGCCCAAACGGACGGTCAGGGCAAGGTAGCGGTTGCAGACCGGCTGGTGACATGTGTGCGGACGGTTTGCGGCGTTGGCAAGCGAGACAGGAGCGAACGAACTGCTGGACGTAGCGGTACATCCCGCGCCAGAAGTAGCGTTGTCTAATGCGATGGTAGGTTTTGAATACCCCAGAGTGCGCGCACTGTGGATCAGAATGGAAGGATTCACATATCTCCGACCGCAGACTGCGGGGTATCACGAGTAGCCACTGTCGGCCGTCGGCGTCGTAATTGCGTCGGTGTAGGAGGCCGTCACGAATGGCGAAATGGTGAGCTCGACGACGCAAGGCACGCGTGGATGGCGTTGCGGACGGATCAGAGAGCAAGTCGATCAGTTGGGCGATCCAATTATCCTTTCGCTGTTCGGTAGCGATTATGTCAACATCAATGGCAGAAACAACAACCGAGGATACTGAGCAGAGCACGTTAGCTTCAGGCAGAGGGGAGCGCGAGAGGGCGTCGGCGTCAGCATGCTGGCGTCCGTTGCGGTAGAGGACGCGGATGTCGTAGTCTTGTAAGCGAAGAGCCCAACGGGCGAGGCGGCCTGAGGGATCCTTCAATGATGACAGCCAGCATAGTGCATGATGGTCAGTGACGACATCGAATGGGCGACCATACAAATAAGGTCGAAACTTTGTAAGAGCCCAGACGATCGCCAGGCACTCTTTTTCCGTGACGGTGTAGTTTGTCTCGGCTCTTGTGAGCGTACGGCTTGCATATGCCACAACATAATCAGGGAACCCGGCTTTGCGCTGCGCCAGGACAGCGCCGAGGCCTACACCACTGGCGTCCGTGTGCACTTCTGTTGGGGCCGTAGGGTCATAGTGGCGGAGAATGGGAGGAGACGTCAACAAGTGGCGGAGCTTCAAGAACGCGTTGTCGCACTCTGACGACCACGAATTGAGGGGCCCGTTACTTCCGAGGAGCTTCGTCAGCGGTGATATAATCATGGCGAAGTTTCGTATAAAGCGTCGGAAGTATGAGCACAGGCCCACGAAACTACGCAGTTCTTTGACGGACGCAGGTTTTGGGAATTCGGCCACGGCCCGAAGCTTGGCTGGGTCAGGAAGAATGCCATCCTTGGACACGACGTACCCTAGGATGGTGAGTTGGCGTGCTGCAAAGCGGCACTTCTTCAGATTTAGTTGCAAGCCGG